ACGAAACTGAAACGGTAACGAAATTGAAGTTATTTTTATTTTTGTGTATTATATATTAAGTAAATTTTTCACCACTACCTTACTACCTATCAAAAAATCAAGGCATCTTATGAAAGCAACTTTATTGCAAATGTCTCGAGGTGACACTTTTAAAATGTGGGTGTAATTATCCTCATTCTGCAAGTTTTACTCTTTAACTCAATACCAAGTTATTGAAACTTTTGCAAAAAGCTGAGGAGTTTGCATCTCTGCAAAACTGTTGGCCCGATTTAAAATATCGAGCTTCAAGCTTTTAAAAATAATTTCATATTTTCTCATACAAAATTTGGATCAACGAAGGAGGAGTGGAAGTTTAAAAACGTTTTGAAGCTTTAATACTAGCAATTTTGAAATTGTTTAGGAGCATTGCGATATTTATATTAGAATGCTTTTTTTTAATTATCTTGGTATTTAATAAGGAACAGAGAGTTTAACTTCTCCAACTCAGTCATTGCATTGAAAAAGTGAACACATCATTTCACAGCAAAGTCATTCACTGCAATATTACTTATTTCAATATGATATTTCAACAACATCTTATCTTATCGATGCAACATCCAAATATAATCCGGTTACTTCTGTTTGTCGGACACTGTCCTAAGTACCATACACAAGCACTAAAGACGTCAGCATAACACGAGCAATCCTGCTGTCAACAACCTCATTTTCAAACTATAAACATTATATAAGCCAATTTAGATATCAGTTGCATACCTGCCAACTTTTAATCCCTTCCATTATCATTTTTCCCAGTGGTATTAAAATGGAATTAAAACTTCAATTTTAAGCAAACAAATACGTTGTATATGAGCAAACTTAAGTTGACAACAATGATAGTAACACATATTAATATATGTGCTTAATTATTGTAAGAATAGTGGTGTTCAAAATCATTTAAAAATTAAGTTTATAAAAGAAAAAATAGTATATATTTACTACCACTTTAAATATGAAAACAAAATCTTCCGGAAAATTCGGAAGAGTTGCATTCGCTATCGTATAGACTAATATGCTTTTATATATCTGTTGTAATTATTTATACGTAGTGGTAGCCAAACTCATTATAATTATTATTATAATTCAAAAACTTTAGCGGAATAACATGAATTTCGCTACCACTTTAAATATGGAAATAAAATCTTCTGGGAAAACCGGAAGAGTTGGCAGCTATGCAGTTGAATAGTACCCCGATGTATTGTTTGGTACTGCGTACGGCAACGGATGTCAAGTAGTGGACAATAATTAGAATAGGAGAAATAGCATTTTAAAAATTAATTCAAAATGGAAACCATCGAATTCGGAATTAAGACGACGAAATTTTACGTTTATACAATCATTAGGTATGAGTGCTATGTTTTTTTTTTTTTTTTATGCTCATAGATATTTTTTCTGAATGCTTAACTTCTACATATATATTCTCAATGCTAGAGGAATTCTTTACAACACACGAGTAAAGTCAAAACACTTTTTTGACTGATTCTCGCGGAAACTGAATCAGGAAAAAAAATTTTTTTCTTTTTTGGTGGTTTCAAGGGGCATTTCACTTGCTCTGTTAGAATAGCAATTTCAAAAAATAATTATACTTCCTACAAAAGTAAAATATTTTCCTTTTTTTTAAAAAAATATTTGGTTCACTATGGACAGGGTACTTAACAGTTTAGCTATGTTCATGAGATTATAGATGTCGGATTTTTGTCAAATTTTGTTTAACTAACTTTACTGCAATACGTGGTGAAATCAGAGAATACTTGGTGCAAAAAGAGAAACATGGTGTGTCAACTTTCAACAGTTTTCTTGATTACAGTACAGGGCCATTTCCTCAAAATCAACTGCAATACAAAAGCAGAAAATATTATGTAATTAAAATATATATTTGGCACCATTCTTGATGAATCTACAAAGAAATTTTCTGGTTAAAATAGAGTTAAGAATCTTTTTTAAATAAGTGTTTTGCGGTCCACTCTAAAATGAAAGTAGGTAAATTTGTTATAAAAATTATTAATGCTGTTTTTTGTGGGTTTTAACATCAACCACTTAATTTAAAAGTTGAAATTTAAAGACTTACATAAAAAAAATTTAATCTTGTATCAGAGCGTAGTAAAGCTTCGCCACAAAACAATTGGAACAAAGAGGTATTTCAAAGGAACTATTGGATCATTTACACGTAGTGATGTGAAAAATAAATAAATTAGATTAGAAGAAATTGCTCCAACGATTAGTTACAAACGATTAGAAGAAATTGTTCCAAAAGAGTAGAAAGTTGACAGGTCTAATCCTATAGTGTTAAATTTTATCTCAAATTAAAATTTTTACATAACCACTTAAAAATTAATAAATTATTTGTTATAAAATTTAAATTTTTCCAACGTGTGCCGATTTCTTATATTTGGATCCAATCAAGCATCCTCTGGCGTGTAATTATGCTGGTGGATGCAATAAAGAGTACCTAACTTCATCTACTAGTCCTGATGGTAGAGAATTTTTAACTAATCTTAGATAATTTGATGTCATTTATTTCAAATCTGTAATTGAATAGAAATAATATTTTTTAAATAACAAAACTGCGTCTACAAGTATTGATGACATTGAGGTATAATTTTTTGTTTAGTTTTTTATGTATAAAAATACTGAACGGATCTTAGATATTTTAACGTAACTTATTTCAAATAAATACAATACCACTTAAAAGTTGATAGATTGTTTTTAATAAAGTTGAAATTTGTCACTTCTGAATATGGATGAGCATATGTCTTTTTCGTGTTTTGATCAGGCATCCGCTTGCATGTATTTATGCTTCTGGATGCGATTAAGTAGAAATACCTAACGTCCTCTACAAATCCTGATGGCACCAAGGAACATTTTACTTGTTGCATGAGAATTTTGAGCTGATCTTATATGTTTTGACGTCGCTTATTTCAAATCAGCAATTATTTTCTCTCTACAAGCTACAGTTTTATTCAATTCAGTTATATATATTACAAACCAAGATTTAAAATTCATTCAAGTACGGGCCTTTCTTCTCTGCTACGTAGGAAATGGTACGACATTTTCGATCCGTTTAGGTCCTATGTTTATTCTCCTATGTGCTATTTTTTAAAAGAGCAGACAAGTGTTGTTACATTTGAATAAAAATTTACAATCGTCAAAAATTGTACATTCAGACAACAAAAAAAAAACACAAAACTAAAAATATCATTTAAAGAAAATTTATATCCTTCCAAAGCTTTTCATAGAGGATTTTTTTCCTATAGGAAGTAAAATAAAAATTACGTGGTTGGTTGAAAAAATATCTCGTTTTGATTTCAATATTTGTCAAAAATTTAATCTAAATTCTGTTATAAAATAAATTAAAATTATTTCATCGAAATCGCAGTAAAAATCACTTTTTAAATAAAAAATATAGAACCGAAAATCAGTTAGACATTTCCGGTGCAATGTAGCCAGTCTGGCAGCACACTTATTTCAAAAATATTACCTCCCACTAATAATGTAAAACTATTTACTTCCAAGAGTCATCGTTTCTTCGCAATCACAGGGATGCCACAGGCGATGAAAAATGTAAAAAGTGGTAGAAATTCAATTAATTTTTACTCATTTATTTTCTATTTAATTATTATTCAGTTGCAACTACTGCTATGACTTACATTTAAAGAGTTGCTAAATTTAATTTCTTTTAATAAAATTTTGAATTGTGTAAGTCAGCATTTTTTTTTCCTTTTCAGTTGCCTGTGCGAATCTTCATCTACTATTCTTTCATGTCTGATAACTACTACACTTATAGCAAAATACTTTATAGCGTCTCAGACATTTCACAACCAATGTTCTCATAATTTTTGGTAATTTTACCAACATTTCAAAAACTTCACCACGATAGAGCTGCTACAAAGTGGAGTTGCATATGTGCTTTTAAATCATTTATATGTAGTGATGTAGAAAATGAGAAATGAATAAAAAAATAATACATTAAAAAATAAACTTAGCTACCACTGGAATGAATTTTTACAAAAAGCGTGGAAAGATGGTAACTCTGTTCTTTAAATAGAATTTAATTTAAAGATTTCTGTTGACTTAGATTTTTCCATCTAAGGACTCAGTTGATAATATATATCGCACTTTGCTGCGGAAAAGTTACGCAAAATCCTAATACAACTGAAATATAATAAACAAATGAACAAGTAAAATCTGGAGTAGACGGTAGCTATTATTTAACATGTTCACGCCGGATGTTGCGCCTGAAAGCGGGACGGAAGAGAGAAAATACTGGTAGAAGAACTATTTCAATATTCGGGAAGAGTTCATCTATTCCCAGCATTAATAATTTACTGTAGGGAAATTTATCACGGCGAAGAAGCAATTCAATATAAAAATTGCATCCGTTAAAAACAATTGGTAGTCATGGATTTTTTTATTCCCGGAAAAAAACTAAAAAATGAAATTTATTTGTTACCAATTTTTACCCCGGTGCGCCGCCCGATGAGACAATCTAGCGTGACCCACCGGTGGGTCACCCCGGCGTGAACGTGTTAGTGGAATGTGCGTTTCAACTGAAAGAATAAGCCGTAGAAATGCACATTCGAATAAATGATAGCTACCGTTTATTTATAATTTCACTTATTTACATTTATTTATAATTTAATAAATTAATGAATAAGTAAAATCTGGTATAGGTGGTAGCTGATATTAAATGCGCATTTAAACTGCTTATTTTTTTAGTTAATGAAGTTAAATATTAAAAACAATCATGCAAAAAATAAACATTAAAATAAAAAGTGGAATATTTTAATTTTATCTTCCTTTCATAAAATGAATTTTAATTCAGAAAGTTAACAATGACCTAATTCCACTGCAGATGAATTTTTATAGCATTAATAAAAGAAATTTTCATAACGTATGAGAAAACATAAATAACAACGCATTACTCTTTTTTTTTTAATTTTTAATGTTATTACTTCTTTTTTCAGGAGAAAAAGACTTAACCCAGATTTCACCAGTTTCATCCCCTGTTCTCAGTCAAGGATCCTTAACGCCTAAGCGAAACGTTCCAAATCCACCGCCACCACCTATGTTCCTTACAAATCACCAAGTCTCATATGCATCATCATCCCCACCTGTAGTTACAATCGCACCCAGCAGACCAGTGGCTACTCACACATCTGAAAGTCGAAAGGTGTGGTTTCATTCCTCTGACAGAATTTATAATTCTTGTACTCTCTCTCTCTCTCTCTCTCTATATATATATATATATAGGTGCTTTGTATATTCTATGACTAATTTTCTACACATCACTTATTAATTCAAAATGGAAACCATCGNTGATGTTTTATTTAATTTAATTTTATAATAGTCGTTTAACAGCAGACCCAATTTCAAGTTTATGACTACCAATGTTCAACTCTGTATAATTTTGAACCTAATCCTTATAATTTTGAAATTCCTAGTAATTTTGAAATTTCTTGTAATTTTGAACCTAATCCTGAAGACAAGGGAACTCCTGGATCAAGTATTGGGAGAAATTTGCCTTCGAGGAGGACTTCTGGTTTGAACTAACCCTCCTTTTCATCACATGGAGAATAACCAAGAAAACCCTGACGGCAAAGAGACTCCCACCCATGATCTGTCCACCACTGAGGATCGTTTTATGTCAGCACTGCGGTCGGTGCAAGCCGGGGGCGGAATTCGTATCTACCAGCCATTGCTGGGAATCGAACCCAGCTTGCGTCATCGAAAAGCTAACGCTCTATTCCCTGAGCCACCACGACTTTTAAACTAATGTTTATGAAAATTGCAACGAAATGAAGAAATTGACAGGAATTAATAAAATTTATTCCATATATTACTGATAATAATACAAAAAAATATGCGCAATCGTTCGGTTATTCTAATCATTTGCATGTCTTAAACTCACTTTACATTTTATGTAAGTTTGGTTTAATTTGCATAATTCTATCATTGGGTTGCAATTTTCACAAGCATTGTTGTATAATTATAACAGGAATATTAGTAAAAAAATATTCACGTTTCTTCTCTTGAAATATTACAGAAAAAAAAAACACAATCAGCGTTTTTCAGGAACTACAAAGATTGCAGTATAGTAATGCATATTTTTAAAACATGTATATATGACATGATTTATTTTATGGTAGAGAATTCGAAACCAAAGTAAGGAAAAAGGGTCATTTTACCGCTAATCTCCATGTAAGTGGTTGAAGAAATAAACAGTTCCAGCAAAGAGACTGGCTTATGAGGCATTTTTCCTCTTAAATTATAAAAAATAAATAATTATGCAAAAAATTAATATAAAAAAATTCTTAATAATTAATTTTGCTTTTTTTGAAATTTTTTGAATCGTTTTCAACTTTTGTTCAACTAATTTTTTTTTTTTAAGTTTCCAGCACAGCTTTTTATCCTCAGATAACCTTCAATAAAAAAACTGGCTCACTATTTTGTCCAAAAGCGGGCGAGGGGAAAATTTAAACAGCTATCAAATCTTCCAAACTTTCTCGTGAATTCTACCCCTTTCCCTGATTTTAGGCAAAATTGGTGCTAAACACTTTTATCACTTGAAGGTGTATGGAAGTGGAAAAATGACCTATAAGTTTAAATACTTTGAAAATAAGAAATAGTAATTTAAGAAAGAAATTGTTTTTCGCTATTCAAATTTAAGGATACTATAATCCCACCTAAGTTTCAATATTTACTACAACTTTTCACCTCTCTAACTCCGCAGAAGAAATTTAATCTTTAAAACAATCATTTACCACCTCGGAGAAATCCTAAGCATTTCGCAGGAAATTCAGGATTTCGCAGGATATGCAATCGTACGAGTGCTTCTTAACATTATATAGGTGTGTCCCCAGTAAAGGAAGAGGGGTCATTGGGGAACCGGGGGAGATATTCAGATACATGAGAATATTTTACATAAGAATCATCAGGAATAAAAAAAAATCGCAACGTAAGCGATTTATAAGCTTTTCTCTTTTCTAATATTAGTTTATTTGATAATAAAGCAGTTTTTTTTATCGTGGTTTTATCGTTTCCCTGTTTTTATTTCGGGAGTAAAAAAAAGTTTTTCTTTGAGATCTATTTTTATCATTTCTGTAAGTGATTATTTTGTAAAATGGTGAAAATAACTTATTTCTAATTTAATTCGAATCCTAAAAAAAAATTTTTTTTAAAGTTTTCTAAAGTTTCATTTTTTCCAAAAAAACGGAATTGGTAACAACTCATAACCCTTTCTTTATTATTTTTGCTTCAGTAAAATTTTGTTACTTAACTCTTTTTCATTGTGAAATCCTAAATTATTCGCACAGTTTATAAGCGTTTCATTTCTTTTATCAAAACTACCATGAAAAACTGCATAGTTTTTAATTTTAGTACCATTTATATTTTATTTCATAACCGTCGTTGAACAGTCGACCCATTTCTAGGTTTACAACTATTAAAGTTCAACACCGTAGCCTTGAAATTATGAACCCAATCAAGAAGGCAAGGGAGATCCTAGATCTACTATTAGAAGAAATGTGCCTTCGTGGAGCACTTTTGATGGAACTAACAAAAAATTGCGTTACATATAGTGGAAATCCACGAAAATATCCCGCGGTTAGCCTATGATCCGTTTACCACTGAGAATATTTTAAGTCAGCACTGTAGTCGGTGCGAACCGGGGGCAGAATTCATATTGACCAGCCATCGCTGGGATTCGTACCTCGCTCGATCTCATTGGAAAGCAAGGGCTCTATCCACTGAGCCACCTCTACTCTAGTACCATTTATAGTTTTCAAAATAAATAAGTAAAAGATTTTCTGAACTTCAAATGTGCCAGAAAATTTTAACAAAAGATTGCTTACGTTAAATTAGTGCCAGTTGTTGACATTAAAACAGCTCTGGATGTTTGAAAGTACTGAATGATATGAGAAAGAATTTAAAGAAAAATTAGAAATGTGCAATTTGCTGTATTCTACTAGCTTAAGCATTTCCTTTTGCAAAATTTCAATATTATTTTATAAACTTCAACAGAAGATGGCATTTTTGATTTAAAAAAAAAACTATTTTGTAATGTTTTCTACTTCATATCAAACCTTTCTTTCTGAAATATTTTCACTAGTATCAATTAATGTCATCATCAGATTGCTGCTTCAAATGACAGTTTGCATTTTGTAGACATTGCTTTAGAGATTTTCTCACTTAATTAGTGCCATCTGTAGACGATCGTTGTGACTACTTTTAAATTTGGTGCGAACAAAGTTTCTAAGCACAGCACAGAAAATTGTGCATTTTATCTCCGCTTGTTTTCAACAAATTGATTTTTTTTTTCAAATTTTGAAACATTTGGTATATTTTTATTCTTCTATTGTGTATATTTTTCATAAAAATAAAGAACGTAACAAAATATTGATCACTACGCAAAGGTTAATTCCTCCATTCACTTTGTTCTTGGTATATAATATTGTAACTAACAATATGTGATCCTTCGTAATTTTTTAGCAGGTCAATTCAAGCGGCTTAAGTAATGGACACGTACAAGATTCGATGGGGGTGAAACTAGATTCCTCAAAAAGTGGCCCTAGAAACGCTCATTCTGATAAATGGGAAGACGCAGCAAACAAAGGTTTATCATCTACCTCATCCCAAGTCAGGTATGAATTAAACTATTTTAAAGTACTTTTTCATTAAGAGATAACTATTTGAATAACGGATTGTTCCGTTAGTAAATCTACGTAAAAAAGCTGTTCCAAAGTAACAGATTAACCCACAAAAAACGTCAGTTCTTTCATTACTTGATATCACAATCCTATATTAATGTTTTCTTTAATTTTATTTTATAACCGTCGTTGAACTGCCCAATTTTGTGTTTATGACTACCAATGTTCAACTCCGTAGTTTTGTAATTGTGAACCCAATCCAGTAATCTAGGGAACTTCTGAATTAGTGCGTCCAGATGTATTGACTTGGTATGGGAACTTGAAGGACTTTGCGGCCCCGACAGATTTAATGTGTAGTCGTAATTTAATACCACGGGCATTTTTTGGCCGGTTGGATACGAACTCCCTCTCTCACGAACATGAGTCCAACGCTCTATCAACCAGAATATCCTACACTGATGTTTTATTTCATTTAATTTAATTTTATAATAGTCGTTGAACAGCAGACCCAATTTCAAGTTTATGACTACCAATGTTCAACTCTGTATAATTTTGAACCTAATCCTTATAATTTTGAAATTCCTAGTAATTTTGAAATTTCTTGTAATTTTGAACCTAATCCTGAAGACAAGGGAACTCCAGGATCAAGTATTGGGAGAAATTTGCCTTCGAGGAGGACTCCTGGTTTGAACTAACCCTCCTTTTCATCACATGGAGAATAACCAAGAAAACCCTGACGGCAAAGAGACTCCCACCCATGATCTGTCCACCACTGAGGATAGTTTTATATCAGCACTGCGGTCGGTGCAAGCCGGGGGCGGAATTCGTATCTACCAGCCATTGCTGGGAATCGAACCCAGCTTACGTCATTGAAAAGCTAACGCTCTATTCCCTGAGCCACCACGACTTTTAAACAAATGTTTATGAAAATTGCAACGAAATGAAGAAATTGACAGGAATTAATAAAATTTATTCCATATATTACTGATAATAATACAAAAAAATATGCGCAATCGTTCGGTTATTCTAATCATTTGCATGTCTTAAACTCACTTTACATTTTATGTAAGCTTGGTTTAATTTGCATAATTCTATCATTGGGTTACAATTTTCACAAGCATTGTTGTATAATTATAACAGGAATATTAGTAAAAAAATATTCACGTTTCTTCTCTTGAAATATTACAGAAAAAAAAATCACAATCAGCGTTTTTCAGGAACTACAAAGATTGCAGTATAGTAATGCATATTTTTAAAACCTACTTAAAAACAAAATCATTTATATTGATTAGGAGCCACAGTAAGAGTTTCTTAAACTTAAAGGTTTCTTATGTCAATTTTGACGAGGATTCTAACACTATGAGTGGTCATTATGGAACAATCAATATGAGCTGCCTTGTCTTTTACCATAAATTACCTAATTTTCTGTGAGTGGATTTTAATAAATATTCTAACAGTTTATAAGAATGGCAATTACGGTGCAATCCGTATGGGCAGCTTTATTTTTGAGCGAAAATTGCTTGAAAAGAAGATGAAGTACTGTTTTTAACCATGTAAAGTAAAACTTTGTCTACTTTTTTTAAAAAAAAAACTTTATAATAAAATTCGTTTTATTTTAGACCACATGCGACAATCGCTCCTCTGCCTCGACCAGACGACTCTTTGACGTCCTCTAGGGGATTTCAACCATATCGAGGAACAGAAGAATCACGCAATACACTCCCACACCACATGTCTCTCTTTGATCCACACCCAGCTGTATCTTATCCCTACACTCCAGCATTTCTACCTCCGCCACATCTCTCTCATCCGGCATACAGGTAGGATCTATCTCCAATTATTTCATAAGGAATAATTAAATTTTTTTTATCCAAAAGTATTCACGTCTTTAGAAAATGTCATTATTTTCAAGTATTGCATCTTGAAAATAATATTTCCTGGCATTACTCTTATAAATAAAACGATCTGATGAGCCAGATTTTATTACTAGTTTAAAATTTTTTCCGATAAGAGTGAATTTTTGCTGGAATTTCCATTACAAAAAAAATATTATTCAAAATTAATGCATAAACGAAGAAAACTTCATGGTTGTATGGTTGAGGAGCAATAGTGCGATGATTGGTTGATTAGCACCTCATTTGTCCACCGATCTGAATTGTTGTAGTGTGGTGTGTGTATGGTCCAGTATTGATTTCGGCATAATTATGGATAAATTCCTAGCTGTTGTCATAAACTTATTAGTGCATAGCTCTAATACGACATTAAAAACCAAACAAATTGAAACTTTATCTACACGCATTTAAAATCAGAAAAAAAAGCCTAAAAGTTTGGTAATCCCTGCCGCCTTAAGCCATCCCGGTTTTTTAACACAGAATATCGTAGACTAGTTCTTCCTGTTGCTTAAGCTGCTAAATTTTAAAGAAACTTTAAAAAAAAAGATTATGGAAATACTAAGTATAAAAAAGAAAGAAAGAATTGAAAATACTGTATCTGAAAAGAATGTTTCATTCTTAGCAAAAAATGTTCTCAAAACTCTCTATTCATGGATGCAATACTAGACAAAAAATAATATTCTTAGAAACATTACATTATATCTAGATTAGCGATTCCCCCAGGTTATTAGGCGGTAGCTTAAAGTTCCGTGGAATTATTACAGGGGTTCCGAAAGATTACAGGGTTCCGAAAATTATATTTGTATCCAATCAATAATTGGTAATTTATTTAATATTTCTGTTGTTTATATGATAAATTGTAGTATGGGAATAAAAAACCAGCAAAAATTTTTGAAAAATTTTTTTTCAGCAATAAATAATTTAATTATGAAAATTATAATCGCATATAAAAAATTAAATAATTATTTCTCAGCTGGATTTTCAATTCAAAACAAAATAATTAAATTCAAGAAGAAAAATTCTAAATCATGAAATTCAAGAAGAAAAATTCTAAATAATTAATTTCAAGGAGAATAATTATTCTCTACGCTTAAAACAGATCTTGCTTTGAAAATCATGATTCAACTTATTTTATTCATTTTCAGCAAACGCATACGCCAAGGATAAATTCATAAAATTAATTATTTCATTCTTTAATTTTAATATTTTTACAACAATAAGTAGTCTTTTTCTTTGCTATGTTCACAGCCGGTAATGAATATCAAATAATGTGGATATACATTATATAATATATATAATGTATATCCACATTATTTGAATTAGTTTATCTATGTTTGACGACATAAAAATTCAATTGGAATTTAATGGTATTTTTAGGTTTGATGACCCATTGTATCTGGAAAGGTACAGCTTGCTCCGACCTCCCGTGATGCCCTACCCACAACCAGGTATGATGGCTCCCCCAACAGCGTTCTACCCTAACAACCGATATGCAGCAGATCTCATTGCTCAATCATTATCTCTAGGCTCAGCTAATAACAGTATTCTCAATCATGAGAGGTAATTTAAGTTGCTATTATTAATATAATTAAATTAATTTAATTAAATGAAATTAAATTAAATATGATTAAATTAAATATAATTAATATAATTAAAGTATGTCAAAAGATGTAAGGATCCCAATAAAGTCAGTATTCATCCTCTTCATTGTCGAAAGGCTACTGCTGTAGTAAGGGAAACAGTTTGTATATATGTATAGTAAAGTGGCTAGCTCAGCAATAGGAAACCACTTACAGCGCAATCTCTTAATAAGCTGGAGCTGTATCATTTCTATCTCAAAAATGGTAGAAAAAAAAGTAAATTAAACCATACGTGCATTTTTTTTTTTTGTTTTATGCATCCCAAAGATGACAAAATTATGAATGAAATTTGAAAAAAATATATATAGTTACTGCACGACCATATAACATCGTAATATTCAACATCGAAAATCAAGTTATTTTCTGATAATTATTTTCTCTTTCTTTCTAAGATCATTTCATCACATCAGCGCGTAAAAAAACCCAAGCAATTCAAATAAATATCGTATTTTTTAATGTAAATTTAGCAAATATTGTAACGTTCTAAAAAATGCGTATTTTAAGTATTTTTCTCTTAGCATTAATCTGCGCCTGGTGTCTTTTGCGTTAAATGAATAAGTTTATACATATTGTTTAGTATTGTATTTCATTTTTCCCCTACGTTTTACTGTGTTAGAAAAAGAAACGTAAATTCTCAGTTTCCATCATAGCCACTATACTATACTTAGACACCATTTTCATAACAATAATAATTAAGATTAATAAAAGCCATTTGATAATTAAGATGCTAAATGCAGACTTTAGAATGCCCCCTATAAATTTACCCTTGCGTCATACTTAGAAGATTATTGCTTAGTGCTATTTACTTAAGTAAGAATACCATCTTATATTAAATAAATAACCTTGATTATTCATAATAGCACTTATTTTTAATTGTGTAGGGAATTTATGCACAATTTTCATAAGCATATATCCGTCTACTATCAGAAAAATAACATTATATATTGATTATTGGTCACATTTAATAACCAATATTGGTAATACATTGGTTAACCTTTTCGATACGAGACTTAGTATATTTTATTTTCGTACACCGGTCATGAAGAGGTTCAATATAATGGTTAAACATTTACTATAATTAAAAATAATGCATATGAATACTTCCTGAATGTGCAGAATTTTTAGTATACGTGAATAACTGCTATTAAACATGCATTATTAAATTATGTATTTAGAATTAAAGTTTATAATAATAGTCTGAATCGTATCATCTGTTTTAAAGATATAAACTTTTATACAGTGTAAAAAAAATATTTCGCAAGCTAATTAGTAGTATCAAGGTAAATTGTGGAATAAAAGAAAAGCTCATTAAATCGTAACAAATTTTTTCGTTTCATCCCATGCATAATCTTAACGGGATCAAAAAAAAAAAAAAAAACTAAACGAACTTGACTAGTTAAAAAAATTTAAATCATTACGAAATTTCTTTTAGGTTAAAACAAGAAGAAGAAAGGCGAATGAGGGAAAAAGAAATAGAGTTAGATCAGTCACGAAATAAAGAACAGGAACGACAAAGAGAAAAAGAACAGAAAGATAAAGAGACAAGAGAAAGAGAGCACAAGGAGAGAGAACATAGAGAAAAAGAAAAGCGAGAAAGAGAGAAACCTTACAGAGATAAAGAGGAACATTCTGATCATAAAAAAGGATTACATAACTCCCATTACGGTTCCTCATCTTCGAAAAGAACTGAATCACCAAGTGAGAGATTAGTTGAATTTACGAACTACTAGTTCTTTTTTTTTTAAACTAAGATTATGAAAAGCGAATGACAAAAAATACATTATGCTAATAGATTTTTTTAGAAATATTTTAGATGTTTAATTTATGATAAAGATTTTTTGTCGACAATTTCATTCAGAGATTTTTTTTTCATTTCAGACTTTAGGTTTGTGAGAAGAAAAAAAAAGCTATATTTCGTTTTAAAAATCAAATACATTTGCAACATTAATTGAATATTAAAAAATATTTTTCCCAACAATGAAAAAAGGAGAATCTGCACGAATTGGTTGGATAGCGTTACGCAATTAAACTATAATGTTACGCAGCAATTTTATAAATCTCTTTTTTTAGATTTTTTTATAACCTTCAAATGAAATATTTTTTTTTAAATTTTCTAAGTGAAATTAAAGTTATGCTTATGTAAAAGTTAGGTTATGTAAGTGAATTAAAGTTAGGTTTTTATGGAAGAAAATGCTTAAGTCGAATTTTAGATAGGCCTAGTTCTCTCTTCCTTTAAAGCATGAAACTTTATTTCAAATTATTATTGAATTTAAAGCATAATTTATTAGCTACGAAATATTCTATAATAAGCTTGATTTCACTGAAATGCAGTGTCACGTGGGGTAATCAAAGTGATGAACATTTTAGCAAACATTGCATAGAAATGATGGGGAATTTTAATTGTGAAAGCTCTAAAATAACGACATGCTAGATGTAGCAAAAACATTTTTAGATAATAGGAGATTTAGTGTTTAACTGTTTACCTGCGGGGCTTATTTTGTAGCTAAGAGGAAAGTGCATTAAGAAAAAAATGGTAGCAGATTTGCATGTAAATTAAATGGAAATTTTCTACTATTAGTTACTGATTTGATTAAAAATCATAACAACTACATGATTTTAGAACCAAATATAGACTTTCATATTATTAATATATTTTAGCACATATTAATATTCAGTTTTTTTCTAATATAAATTCTTAGAAAGAAAGAATTAGCTACCAGTCCTTAACATTTTGAAAAAGAAACATGTGTTCCAAAAATGCAACACAGACGCTTAAAGACCTGAATAATCTGCTACTAAATTTACTTAATTTTTAGCAACTTAAATACAAATATATTTAATTTATATTTAAGTTGTACCATCTGGAAAAAATCAATAAATCCAACAAGTACTAGAAATGGTTTCATATATATTTATATAAAATATTAAACATGCTGATTTTAAATGTCTTTAACTGAACCCCCCCCCCCTCTCGTTTCCTTCATTTTCCTCTGCTCTCGATTTGAATGTCCTCACAATTTGTGAACGGCCCCTTAGACAACTTTTCGAGTATATTCGGAGGTAATGAAAAACGCATTCCTATTAAACCCCTTTTAAAAAATCATAAAATGCATTTATTTCACGATTTTTTTTCGTTAACGATTCATTATCTATATTAATTTTATTTTCTTTGATTTTAATCTCCGAAATATCTTAATTCAGGTGTAAGAAATCCACCCGCAATTCACTCGACTTCAAATCATACAACTCCATCTGCAACAATAGTAAATTCGACTCCCCTCAACCTCGTCGTTCAACCTGGTACAGAACCTCCAAAAAAGGAGGCAGAGTTATGGATGCCATGGCAGCAACCTGCGAATCAGTATCCCAAAGAAATGAATCAAGATGGCGGACATATTCTGAAACAGCCAGCTCTACGACCACCTGTAAGTGTTCAAATGTACCAACATAGATATACAAAATTTTTGCTGTTACTGATTCACTTTCAGAAACAAGTATCAGAAGTTTCTTATTATTTTGGTAAATCAGGATAGAGCTTAGAAGTGAAGAATAGAGTTATGTGAAAAATGAAATTAAAATTGAAATGAAAGGATATTTCATTATTTGTCAGCTGATGAGGAAAGTGATTTATCAGTAACAACTAATGAAATTTAAAAGATAGCTTTAAATTTTATTTGTTTTAAGAGCAGCATATGATGAAAAGGGAAACTTAGTATATTTATTTGCTTTAGCATATATACTTGCTTTTTAGCAAGCAAGCTATCTGAGAGATTATCAGCATGATTTGTCCTTATTACATAACTTCTTAACATAAATTGGAAAGTTTTACTCACTTTTAAAATAGTTCTTCATCGTTTTCATACTTTTTTTACAATTATATACATATATATATTCTAATTTATGTTATTTTAGTAAAATTTTCTAATTTATGTTAAAAAGTTATGTAATAAGGACAAATCATGCTTATAATCTCTCAGAGGATAGAGCTCTTACTTGCTAAAAAGACGACCCAGGTTCGATCCCAGGAATGGCTGGTCATTTCGTATACTGCTCTTGGCTGACACTGACCACAATGCTCATGAAAAATCTTTTTAGTGGTATATGGATCTTGATTATATATCGTCCATTGTATATTGGGCTAACTATTTTATCAGTTTTCTTCTCTATGGAAGTTTCTCCTCAAAAAGCCCAGAATCATGGACTGCCCTTGTTTTTAGGATTAGTTTCTAATTTCAAGGCTGAGGATTCGATGTTGCAAAAGGGTAGTTGATCAACATCGTAGTTAAAATGCAATTGATAATAATATGTTTTGTCTTATTTTACTGTTAACAATTCCACAAACTCTATCTGAATATTCTATTCATAGCTTCGTTGTGGTACACCTAACTATTTTGTTCTTAAGCTCAAATTATTTAATAAGTAGTTCTCTTATTGTTTAAGTAATTATTCTGTTTATACTTCGGTTGTAGTTTACCTGACTGTTCTCAAGTTTTAACAAGTTTTAGAAGTTCCTTAGCTGTATACCTTAATGTTTTGTACTAAAGTTTTAAATATTCTAATAGGAATTCTGTAGTTATCTAATTAAGTACTTTTTTCAAAATTTTTATTCGAAGTTTTGTTCTGGTTTACCTTACTACAAAGTTTTAAAGTTGTAACTATTCTGTAGTTTTGTTTTTATTATCACATAATTCTGTTCCTAAACTCTAATTATTCTGTTACAAATTTAGAAACTAAACTTCTTAAATATTTGCTATGAATGATGAAATTTTTCTTTCAAGTGTTTTGTTATTTGACACGAAATATACCGATACATTTTGTTAGTAGCTTTGTTTCTGCTTATTTAACTACGGTATTCTTAAGATTTAACTACTGTATTAACAGTTTTGCTGATGATTATCTAACTACTTTGTTCTGAAGTTCTAATATTTTGTTTGAATCTCTATTAGTAGTTCCGGTTTGTTTAATATAACTATTAGTGTTATTGTTATTTATAGTACGATTCCCCTATATTGTAGTATTGTATTGTAGTAGTATTGTTATTTATCTAACTATACTGTTTTATGGTTCTAACTATTTCGTTAGAAATTTAAAAACTAAACTTTTTAGAGTTGCAAATAATGAAATTTTTTTTCAAATGTTTTATTATAGACATATATTTTGCAAGTAGTTCCGTTGTTGTTTATTTAATTATTTTGTTCTTAAGGTTTAATTATTGTTTTAACTGTTCTGTTAATGATTACCTGATTATTCCGTTCTGAAGTTCTAATGTTTTTTCAAAATTTCTGTTTGTAGTTATGGTTTGTTTAACGTAACTTTTATGTTTAACCCTTTAATGGGCCATTTATATCTAGCAAAGGTAAATTAAAGTATTTTTGGAATTGAAATTGTTTTAAGAATAGTAATTTATGTAAGAAAAAAAAACTAATTTAGTTTATAAAAATTCCATTTTTTTAGTGGTAAATATATTTAACACGACCTATTAGGAACTTATTGACTTTTATTTTTCTATAAAATAAATTTTATAAATGCTGCAAACTTCAAAAGGAATTATGTATTTTATAACTTTTATACGTTTTTTTCAAACTAACAAATGGCTACCAATTTTATTCATACGCACTTCAAGAAAGCTGAAGTTATTAACAAGTGGAAACCAAAATTAAAAGTGGTAAAAAAGTTGTGGTAAGTATACTTCCCACGATCTTCGAAAGGGTTAAAGTTTAAATTATTCTATAAGTAACATTTTTGCTCATCTAACTATTCTATTCTTAAGTTTAAACTAGTTTGTTTGAACTTTAAGAACATATATATCTTTTTTTTAAAATATTTCAATTTTTTAATCATTTGATAGGAAGTGCATCGACATCATCATGGAAAAGAAAATCCCACTGCCGATAAAATGAGCTTGAGATTCAGCCCTTCGATTCTGAACGAGAAGAAACACTCATCCATACCCAACATCGAGCTTCCAGTGAACGACCCAAACGGAAAGAAACACTTTGCACCCAACGACAACAAACGATCCGAACCCCCACACCATTACCCAACCGACAACCTGCCCAACAAGGAACATGCCCCGCACGAATGGCGACATGAAAAACTACAGAAAGCATGCTCCAACAATCATAGAAAAAGTCACGAATCCAAAAAAATCAAAGATAACGCTGTCCAGAATCATCAACGCAAAGTAGTGAACGGTGCGGTGTTAAAAACGCCGACTTACCAGAATGAAGGCATGCATGCTAGGTTGTTGGAATCTGAGAAGAGCAGACTGGAGATGAATGGACATTTGTTACCACCGGCGAAAACGCACACGCCTGTGAGCAATGATAGGCATGTTGTGCCATCATATAAATCTAGTCAATTGTTCAGTCCCGGAAAAGAGAGTTTTCTGCAGAATAGTTATGCAGATTGTTATAATCCTCCAGTGCTGAAAAGTAATATTGAAATTTTTCCTGTTGTGAGCAAACTGGACCTTGATGCCAAGAAATTGGAAAAAAATGATTTTAAGTTTGAGGATGATGATGAGAAGGAAGAAAAAAGGATAAAAAATTTTCTGATACTTTCAAAAGTGCCACCAACAAAATATGAGCATAATCCTCAGGTAAAATTATACATGAATATTATCATGATTTCCAACTCAATGTATTTCCTAATTATGTATTTTATATTTATTATAAATGTGTCTGAAATTATGCCAATAATGGACTATGTGAAAACTTGCGTACCTATAGTCGGCAAGCTCAGCTTTTGAAATTGTTACCAAAATAAGAAAATTCGACTTTCGTTTTTATCTTTATAGATTATCACTTTTCAATGAGAGATATACATACCTGCCAACTGGTACAGTCGTTAAAAGTAATTTTACAAAGTGGTAGTGAAACAATAATTAAGTTATGAAGAATTTTCTGAAAACAAAACTATTAAGACATCTACAAGTATAATTAGCCTACAAATAGGTCTTATCTACTCATGTGTTTAAATTATTAATTCAGCGTGGTAGTCTAAAAAAAAATTTTTTTTTTAAACTCTAGGCTTCAAGATTTAGTATTCCAAAACGCAAATGTAGCTACCACTAAGAAAATTATTTCTCAACGGCCGTACTAGTTGGTAGCTACGGAGCAACGAACAAGTTAAAATAAACGTTCTTTAGCTTCATTTCCAAACAAAAAAAATTCTAATATTACTTAATTCAAGTGCCGAGCAGCTCTGGAGTTGATAACCGGTATTCTCAAGCCTAATGTTTTTTAAAATAAGAAATCTTCGCCGGTTACGGAATTTCATGGTATTCCCTACATTGATGTCTTTTTTAAAAGTTAGATGCCGTTGCCCGGTCTTCACTACACTGATTTTTAAAAGATAAGTGCCATCACTCGGTACATACTTTCTCGGTATTTCCTATACTGATTTTTTAAAGATTAAGTACAACTGTCTAGTCCAAAGAGTTAGCCCTGTCCCAAGACTGAAGTTTTTCCCAATCTATCCTAATTAGATATTACAACACGGAATAAATATTAAGATATCAATGAATAAATTTATATAAAATTGGACCTAGTGAATGTTTTGGACATTCACCAAAGTGACTATGTGATTGTTGACATTCATTATGTAAATATTGACCTTCTCTAGATTTCCATCTTTCGGTAACAAGTAAATTGATATTCTCTTCTCTAATAGCACAATATATTATTTTTCAGAAACTGAGGTTTTTGAGATTGTTTGGATTGACGACTCATTTCAAACGAAAAAGTAAGAAATATCCTTTATTGTTTTTTAAGTTGTGTATTATACTAATCTGAGTTAAAAGTGTATTAGAGTTCGTTTATGTATAGAATATCTTCTTAGGAATAATTTAATCAGAATTTTTATATATTAATATGATTCACAAAAAAGAGCTTTTCAAGATGAGAAACAAATAACCTGAAGACATTACAAGGATACAACCAATTTTATGGCAATTATGAACTCCCTATCAAAAAGTATTTGGTGCAAAGGTGTGACCGCATGATCTGAGAGGCCTCCAATCTGAGCTCACTTTCTCTACAGTCCTGTAGTGTCATTTATTTGAAAATATTTTGATACATAAGAATAACTTAAAATATTTACATTTCTTTTTCAAATTTGCTACCACTTTATTTTTAAATAAAATACCACACAAATTTGCTTTCTGTCGTATTTAGTAGCATTAATTGCACTCTGTAGCAATTGTACACGTGTCTTGCAAACCTCCTTTTTTTTTTTAACTTTCTGGTTAAAATTCTTTGTGGTGGAAGTGGTAAAACTTTTAATTTTAGGTATCAATAAGGTTAAATCAAAATTCTGTTAGCTTTTAAAGTTCCTTGCTGTGCTTTACAATAACCTCCACTTTTGGAGGGATGTCGAAAGAAATGTTATCACAACTTTTTGTCTTGTGGTAAATGCTACAGCCAGGGGTGTAGCCAATATATATCAAGACGGAAAAGAGTAAAAACTGGTAAAAAATAAATTTCATTTCTTACTTTTTTTCGGGAATAATAAAAATCTATAACTACTAATTGTTTTTAACGGATACAATTTTAATAACGAATTGCTTCTTCGCCGAGAAAAAATTAATTACAGTAAATTGTTTATTGTTAAGAATAGATTAACTGCTCCCGAATATTATCTAATATTGAAATAGTTTTCCTACCAGTATTTTCTCATTTCCGTCTTGCTTTCAGGCCTGATGACAACAACTTGTATGTTGTATCTGTTAGAAAGTTTCGTTTACGAATAATTAACACGCCAATGTTAAATAATGCAAAAGCTGATTTTTTTTTAAGTGGTCAAACATTAAATACATATATCAAATGTAGTTTAGTGGTATACTTTGGTTACACGTTTGAATATGTATGCACACAATGTTCATCAGCGCCGTATATGTTTTGTCTCTTTAAGATTACCATTGAGTTTAACCCCTTGGGGACGGGTGATTCAGAAAAGCATTCGTACAAAATCAGAATCAGGTTGTAATTAAATAAAAAACGGTAACTTAAATGTAGTCGTTGCTAATTTGACAGATTTACTAAGCTTTTACTTTAATTATTGTTAGTTTAATCATATAAATAATCAATGTTAATTCAAAGTATAACTAAATAGTTTTATTTTGAACAAAGTAATGGTGAATTAAATAAATCAAGCAATTATAACTCCGCCTACAAATAAACTGCTAAAGAATTACTTTGATTACCAGTTTTATCTTTTAACCCCGATTGATACATTTTCACGCTGGCACGTATTTGTGACAGTCGGCGCGAAAGGGTTAAGGGTATCACTTTCTCTTTTAAAAGTAGATTTTGCATTACTGTAAAAGGAGGCGTATACTGCAGCTGAAAACTTTTCTCTTGACCAAATATAAAATGCCTTTTTGTAAGCTAAATGATCTCGAGGAGGGGGCTTTGAAGATTTGAAAAAGTTAAACACTCTGAACTCTTTAAAATTTATTTCTTTACTTCCTTATTCTTTTACAAAAAGCATAGCATCTCATTCTCATAATGTTTTACTTAAACTTACTTTTGTTTCAGAAATTGAATTCGACATGTACCTGAAAAGAAGAAAAATTTTAATGGAAGACTATGAAGTTCCTCCGTTGAGTCCAGATGTAGAACCTGACAGTACAGAAAGAGCTTTAATATCTCCAGTGGAAGAACTGTATACAAGAAATGATAGATTATCAGAAAAATTATTGGCGGAAGCGACACCCGTGAAATTAGAATTTCTTTTTAAAATTGGTCTCACTCCCATCACACTTGTGAAGAAAGAAGGTATGTTAACCAATTAAGTGCCTCAGACGTGTATACACGTTTGACCTAATCCCTGTTTCGGCGCGTATGACGTGTATACTCGTCGTGTTAATTAAAAAATTACCATTGAACTCGAAATTCCAGTAAAATACAATAAGAATATTATTTGATGGTGTGATTTCTTTATTTGACTAACTATTTTTAATTGTTAACAATTTATTCCCAACTATTATACACGTACACACACACACACACACCCACACACACTTACACACACACANATCATAAACTGAAATGTATTATGTATTATCACCTTCTTTCTACCATTCCCTACGTAGCAGAGAATTAATATCGCCAGATAGAGTTTTGTAAATTCTTGGTTTGGAACATATTACTTAATTGCATAAAAATTATAGCTTGTAAAGAGAACCCGATTGCAGATTTGAATGCAGCGACGCGGAAATATATATATAAGATCCATTCAAAAATTACATGCAACAGAAAATTGTTCTTTAGTGTTATGTAAAGTTGATGGAAAAAATTGATAATTGATAATTCTTTTTTCAGAAAAAGAACGCATTCGGCGAATGGTTGAAGAAGAGAGACTAAGAAGACATTATCGCCTGTTGGCGAAAGTAAACAAGAAAGCCTCTCCACGTCGCCTATTCGTGCCAAAGAGTGAAGCAGGTGAGAAAAGATACTTAAGGCAGATTTTCAAAGGCTCCTTTGTAATATGACTGACGCTTTTTTTGCGATTAATATGCTATTTTTATAACTGTTGAGAGTTTTTAACTGTTACTCATGATTGTTAGATCAAGTTTAGCCATTCTAAAGCCAGTGATGTCTTCGCTTTGCGCAGAACGTCAACATGGAGAAAAACCACAGTTTTGTGAAAATGAGAAAAGATTGTGGTCTAATTTTTTAATACTTAAAAAATTGCTCCAATGCTGCATTACCCCGGCTCATAAAAATTTGTAAAAATTGAGAATAAGGCAATAATTTTGAGAATTTTAATTTAGGTGGAAAAATTTCTGTTTTTTTTTCTTAGGCGACTGAGCATCGAAAGACCACGTTTATGAAATCATTACTGATTCTAGTTCATAAAATCTCTTTTTTTTAAAAAATATTTTACTGATTCTACTTACTTATGTTTAATAACTGATTTAAGTCCAAAACTCTATTTTAACTTCTATTCATCCTTAGATGCGGATTCAAACTGGCTGATGAAACTCACCACATAGTATGGGGAAAATTTGAAATGCAGAGATGCCAACAGCTCCAGAAATGACAGATTTTAAAATGATAGAGAATTACAAACTAAAATTTACAGATTTTTCGGCGAATTTTGCAAACCATTTAAAAGGCTGACGAGAAAGAAAAAAAACGTAAATCGAATTTACTGAACCAAGAATCATACATTAAAAGACTACCATTCGAAAATATTTATGGGCTGTCTGGAGTAAGGTGGCTTCGTTCTAACTGGTCAATCGAAATATTTTGTCAGCTAAAGTCTGTTCTGGTCTGTTTGGTCTAGCTGGGCTCCTGAGACCAATAATGGCCCTTTTCCCATTCATTCTGTAATGAGAACATAAGCAAAAACAATATACAGATTACATAAAATGTAACAAATAATGGCACATGTTGTCCGTGAAAGTAGACGCCCTATTTCTTAAGTGTTGCAAAAGGTAATATATGAAAGTGGTAAGACATTTACCCTTTATGTACAGTGCACAAAAATAGAGAAAAGAAAATTGGTTGAATGGTTCGTGAGAAATCGAATTTTAAATATCTGGCTTTAAGATTATTACAACTTTTTAGAAATTCAAGAACTAATCAACCATTTTGCTCAAATTTTGTATTCTGTCATTTAAAATTTTATTCTTTAAAATGATACAAATATTGTATTCCTTACAACTCAATATTTTTTGGCCACTATTAAGCAAAATTAATGAAAATTAAAAAATGGTTACTAAAAAGAATTTTTTGAAGCCGGCATGACCTCCACTTTTATTCGAACCCCTGTTCTTCACAATGACAGTGCAGTAAATTAACCACTGAGCAATTACGGCTTCGACGTTGCTCACTGAGCAACATAAAGTGTTCCTTAAGCATGAGACGCACAACCTAAAATTTCGTCTAATTTTTTTAAAAAAAAGTTTAGCTTCATTCCTAAAGTTATTCCATAACAACAATTAGCGAAGCAAACAAAACAAACATAAACACAAATTCAACGAAACAAACAAAATAGCAAAAGTATTACAAAAATAAAATTTTCTTTCACTAATAAGCTCACTTAGAACTTTTTTAATAATTATTAAAATACATTTTACCAACTTTATAAGCTTGAGTCATTTTAAATTATTTTTTAGCTCAGAGATTGGACCATTTAAGGAAACTTCGAGAAATGAATGCGATTGGACTATCGAGAAACTCTTCAGAAGAGGAAGAAGAAGTGCTTGATGTAAAACCTGTATCATCTAGTCAATTAATTATGCCAAAAATTGAGCAAGGTGAGGATAAATCTTTATAAAAATAAGAAAGACTCTCAGAAAAATATTTTTATAATTAATTAAAAACTATATGAATAAAAAATGGGTTTGGTTTACAAATAGTTTAATTTTTATTTACATTGAACGAATGCCACCATATTCACTGCTTTTTAAATATTCAACTTAAAAAATTAATGCCGTCAAGGGGCATTTGATCGACTCGATTTTTTTCGTTTTAGTAACAAGGAGGGCACAAATAGAAGATTTTAAGAAATGGTTGCAAAAAAACAAAAAAATTGCTATTTACTAGGATATATTTGTAAAATAAAGAAAATATATTTATATGTTAAAACTTATGTACTTATCGTACGGTTAAGCAATCTAGTGCAAGTGTGCCCATACCCAAAGTTCCCATTTTCCGTAAGCGCTTCCTTGTTAAAAGAAAAGAATTAAATATCTTTTAACGTCATTTTACAGATGCAGATATAATTTGTTACGAAGCTGCAACTACAGAGCTACGTCTGCCATGCTTATATAATTAGCATAAAGAAGCAGCACCAGACACTGACAGTGGAGAAAAATATAATTAATGGCTCTAAAAAGGCCTTTTTAGTTTATGAAATAGGAATTTAAAAATTTATTATTTTAATTAAAAAATTTTAGATAAAATTGCGTCACTTGTGAGAAAGTAAGCAATAGGTTGTATATATGAGTTTTAACTTAGCATTTCTGTCTCGAAAGATTTATTAAAATTTATTGCATTACAACTAAGTGCCTTTTTGAAAAAATTTGCATTTAGTGTCATTAATGTTTCAGATAGTGTGCTAAGATTAAAATCATTATGTATGGCTTTGTTTCTTGTGTAGTAAAAAAGACTACTCTTTCTTCTGAGTAATTTTGATTGGAAAGTATTAAGTTTTCTAGTTTATGTTATATTAAGATTGCACCTGGCAGGGGATACCTAGGTTAAAATTGGCTGAATGTATGTAATATAAATGTAACATTTGTTTTTAAGTGGTAAGTTTGAGTAAGGATCTCTAGTAAGCACTTTAATTCAACATGTTAAGAGCTAGGGACTACACTATAAAGATGTTACATATGTTACTGATACCCAGCCATATGTATACATGATACATATGTTAAAATTGGCTGAATGTATGTAATATAAATGTAACATTTGTTTTTAAGTGATAATTTTGAGTAAGGACTCAGTAAGCACTTTAATTCCACATGTTAAGAGTTAGGGACTACAATGTAAACATTCTTTCAGCTTTACATATCGATAGTAAAAGCATAAAACAGTTTTTTTTCGCTTTTTCAGAAAACTGAATACCGTGATTTATTTATATGAAGTATAGAGAATATATATAATCATTTAATTACAGAAACTACGAGGTTTTTTAAAGTTATATTTAATCTATATTTGTAAAAAGTTCCCCAGTAAAATTTGACCAAAAGTATCTGAGTGTGCATATTCAAATTTTTTTATGATCATAGCAACATACGACCGGCGCAAATCATATAAGAATGAACGCGACTAAGTGGATTTTGCAGCTTGTTTTTCCTTGAGAATCATCAAGCTTTAAACACTATTTGATGCACTAGCCTAGTCTGACATTTAAATTTGGGCGACTACTATTTACATGTGCTTACTCTTTAACAAAGTAGTGCCTTGGCCATGAAAAAAATTGAGCCTGCTCATTGAGATATTTTCTACTGATAATTAATGAGTCCCACACACTATGCTTTTATTTTTAATGCCAATAAAAATTTTAATCGGATGCTTTATGAATAGATCTCGTTCGCATTACCATTTAGTTCTGGAGATTATGTGTGCAATTTTAATAATATCCTTCAGTTATAGCGAGCATTTAATAGCATTTTAATTAAGAAGAGTACACAGTTATAATTATTATTATTACGCGAGCATATACTGATACTTACTTTCGCTCAACGTAGGAGAGTGTACTCGCGTTAGTGCTTGAGTAGTGTTGAATTAGTGTTAGTAGTTTTTCCTCAATAGCTAATTTATATATTTTAATAAAATTCGTAATTTTCTTTTAACATTATTCATCCTTACTGCTTATATAAAGATCTCAAACTGGAACAATTTTTGAATGTTATTAAAATTATCCTACCTATCTTTAACAGTGAGAAAATTAATATTTAAATATATTGCAGTGCCTTACCTTTGCTCGTCAGATATCAACGAGCCTGTGAACTCATTATATACCTCTTCAAGTACAGAAAATTCTGGAACATTTTCATCCCCCCACACCAAGTCTTTCAATAAATATTCTTTTAAACGGGGACACAGCTTAAAGAATGAATTCAGGTTCATTGCTCCTCAACCGGTTTGCAAAAGTAAGTTAAATTTTTTATATTTAACTTACTTTTAACTTACTTAAATTTTTTAACTTGTCTCTTTTAACTCACATTATACTTAAAAAATTGAAAAAGAAAGTGTATTCATGTAAGAAAAACAATTTACTTTGAATTTGTTTTCTCAATCAAAGTTGAGTGTGCTTTTATAGAATATATAATAGAATATTATAATTAAATAGTTTGTTTCATATCTTGAAGTAGTAAAAATCATTAATTACCGGAATTAGACACTGACGATTTTATAATACAAGTATGATTATTTGGTATGTATTGATTCAAGCATATTAGCGCTACCATCTACCACTACGAAACTTCCATGCTTGAAAAATATGTATTTTTGCATCACCTCATACATCAAAAAGCCTCCACACGGTCTTCTATAGGTAGTCAACGCAGACTATTTAAAAAGTGAACCAGTTGTGCGCATGAACCCAAAATCTTTTATGAAAGTAATTGAGAAGAGTTCGTCATATATATTTAGGAATTGAATCTGTAGTGGTTGACAAATGAATAAGGCAAACCAATAATGTTCATAAATAAAACAAATTTTTAGTCATATATTTGCTACCACTTTCTTAATTTAACTAGATTTTATATTAAGTGATTCGTTCGCAATGTGGATATCCTTCACGGTGGATCCGACTACCAAAAAACACCGTGTGGAGACTTTCAGTTAGAGGAGGCGTTGATTTTTGCAATTGGTACTAAAGGTATTCAATATAAATTAGCAGTCAAAAACTTTTGTTCTAATATGGCGTAAAATAATTTTAAAAGATGAAATAATATTATGCCCATTGAATTTTAAAGTAAATTTTTTTTTAATGTAAGTATGATAATTATATAAACGCATGACTATGTTCGGTCAAAATGGGATATTTTTTAGTACAGTTAATTTCGAAACGTTATTTTTTAAGCATGTGTGAATCATGTATCATTTCTTTCATTGCAGACAATCACATAGTGAAAGCACAGGGAACTTACAAGCCCTCAGGAAGTAGTACTTCAATTGGAATACAAGTTGATACTAGTTATTTCGGCAATAATATTGATAAGTCTTTAGCTGATTTAAAAAGTTCTTTTAATTGGCCTGGTCTAGATACAATCATGGAAGCATTTTACAGACATCAGAATGGTACGTTTCTTGTTTTACTTCACTACAAAATAAATGTTTAATTAATTTTAGTATAAAAAATTTACAATATACATAAAGTGATAAAACTTATGTCAGAAGAGTGATAGAATTCTATTTCATTAATACTTCACTTTTTGATTGAAAGAAGTTTTTTTTACCACCATCCAGGAGATATGATTAATAACATCCAGGAGAAGTTAGTATCTGATCCTTGTCTGAAAGTGAGACTGAAAAGAGAAAGCACTATAAGTAGAACTATTTCAATAATAGGTCCAGAGGAATAAATCTATTCTTAACAATAAACATTATACTGTTGTTAATTTTGATTTATAAGCAAGAAGCAATTTTATTTATAAATTGTATCCGTTAAAAAAAATTGGTAGTTACGTTTATTTTATTATTCCCTGAAAAAAAACTGAAAATAAAATTTATTCGTTACCAGTTTTTTCTCTTTTCCATTTCGATAATTATTAACATTCAGCTAATAATTGATTTCTAATTTAATTATTATTATCAATTTTTCAAGATAGATTTGGTTGCTGCTTATTGGTGGTCATCATGTCATTAGTTAAATCCTTTTGAGGATAATTTTCCCTGGGATAGTGGAATATAAATTACAATTTTATGCAGAAACATGCGCTGTATTTTAGCCCTTTCGCGCCGACTGTCACAAATACGTGCCAGCATAAAACCGTATCAACCAGGGTAAAAAGATAAAACTGGTAATCAAAGTAATTCTTTAGCAGTTTATTTGTGGGTGGAGTTATAATTGTTTGATTTATTTAATTCCCCANGCGCGTAATTCAACTTAAAGTAACATCAGTGTGACTTCTGTTGTTGCAGATTAGATGACCAATAACTTATATTTAGGTTGTAAGATCCTAGTTTAAGCAGGATTGTTAATTTTTTCTGCTAGTTATTTATTGTTAGCTTGTTTTTTGCGGTTACTAATTGCTTTTTTAGTATTAATTTTTAATATTTTTATTAATAATTGTTTATTATTTTGTTTGTTTTTTGTGAATTTTAATTTAATTGTTACATATGCTTCATAGCGTAATAACATTTGTGTAATAACAATTCATTGTGTAACAACAATTGTGATCGGTGGAGTGTCCAAAATATTGTGTCGCGTGCCATAAATGGCACGCGTGCCATTGGTTCACCATCCCTGATATATATGATTAAACTAACAATAATTAAAAGTAAAAGCAAAGTAAGTCCGTCAAATTAGCAACGCCTACATTTAAGTTACCGTTTTTTATTTAATTACAACTTGATTCTGATTTTGTAGGAAGGCTTTTTTAATTACCCGTCCCCAAGGGGTTAATTATGGTAATGCACAATTTCACGAAAGTATTGCATATTAAAAATTTATTTAAATTTTTTTTTTAAATAGTGGTGGATAAAAAGATTATATATTAAGTTTTTAAATACAACGAATATATAGAAAGTATACATTTTACTACCACTTTAAATATAGAAATAAAATTTTAAGTCAAATGCGTAAAAGTTGTCAGGTATGCTTTTTACTTCAGTTTTTTCATTTACAATACATTTTTCAGTTTTATTCTTTTTTGATTGATTGCTGCTTTTTGTTGGTCATCAGATTTACCTTTCAAGTTCAGTTTTTTAACTTATCTCAACATTTCCTAATTTTTAAATGATTATTGCTTCTTATGGGGTACCAGGTGTGCATTTTAGGTGCATGTTTCATAGTAATATTATCAGTTTCATTATAATTTTTATTTTCATTAAATTATATTTATTTTTATAAATGACTTAAGCAAAGTCAATAAAATTCTCATCTCAAGCACAGCCCAAAATGTACTTTTAAGGAAACGAAATTGCTAAAAATGTGTGTTTGTAGATATGGATAAAGCTCAAAATATGAATTTAATAAAATAGAATTCCTGAAATAAAATTGCTCAGCCTAGATTGATTATTCTAGAAACAACATGAATCTTCCATTAAAACAAAAAAGTTTTTTTTTAAATGTTCTTCTAGGTGACATGCTAGAATAAAAAATTAATCAATTAAATCGTTCTTGGCCCATCATAGCAGCTTATCCCTTAATATCATTAGCCACCATACTCTCCTGACTTGCTTCATTCTTTCAAAATTAATTCTGCCTTGAAGAGAATGAATTTAAATTCTGTTGACAGATGTTATCAGGTCAATAGCTACAGAATCTTAAAAATATAAATTTTTCAGCAAAAAAGTTTTACTTGAATCCCTGTTGAACAGGAAAGGTGGAAAGCTCTAAATAGTCGTAAATATTAGTATAAGAGAAATTAGACTCTGCTTCATTTAATGCATTTATTTCTTTAATTGGTATTTTTATAAGGAAACTTTTGCAAATGCTAATAGCTAATATATTTTTATATACATTTTGTTTTGCTTATTAAAGTGTTATTGTTGCATTCAATTTCAGAACAATCAAGCGAGAAGTCCATCTTGACAGAGAGGTGCAAGCAACTGAGACTTACTCAAGAAGAACTTAAGAAGGAAGCTGACAGCCTTAGTAGAAAGATGTCGGTAAGTTTTCCAATTACCATAGCTGCCAACTCTTCCGGTTTTCCCGGAAGATTTTATTTTCATATCTAAAGTGCTAGCGAAATTCATGTTATTTCACTAAACTTTTTGAATTATAATAATGATTTTAAATCAGTTTGACCACCACTACATATAAATAATTACAACAAATATATAAAAGCATATTTACAAAGTTGCTAACTTGCTCCGGACAGCAGATATATATTTTAAAGTGGTAGTATACAAATTCAATTTAGTAGACTTTTATCCATTACTATTTCTAAATAATTTGTAGGCTTATGGAATTCACCACTTTATAGTACTTATGTTATGCTGTACCTTTTTAATGCATGCAAAAATAGTCAAATATTTGCATAATTTACTTTGTGGTTATTTACCGTTTTTTAAATTATTTTGGCGTGTCCGGAGCAGTTGGCATCTCTGTATTTATCCCTACAATAGCGAATTTCAACCTAATCAAAATAAAAATATATTTTTGAGGAAGATAGTTTTTCGGTAATTGTTTTACTACCACTTGGAAAATCCATTCTCGAAAAGAGTGAATGTTGGCAGGTATGAATTACTGAGTCAATGATTTTGAGGATCGAAATTTAAGAACTCTTTATGCTATGTCAGAATTCATCTATTTTATTTTATAGTTTTAGAAAATTAAAATTAGCTTTCTATATTTTGAAATCGTCAAAAATGATGTCTAGATTTAAAACAACTATTTCAGAATCAATAGCACCAGTTATTTATAATCTGTTTTTTGTAACATTGACTTTTCAGTTTTAATCTGTAGAATTATTGTAGAACTGAACAAATAAGCGAGGGAAAAAAAAGAAAACATCACTAAAAACAAGTATGCATACCCTTCAACTTATGAAGATTTTGAAAATAATTCTTTCTAGTGGTAGCGAACCAAAGTAGAAATTTTTAAAGCAAATGGATCTCTCATAAAACTTTTATCAGAACTTAAGAATCTAGCCATATGGCCTGCACTTTTATAAGTAATAGTGGACAAGTTGCGCTAAAATTAATTTTTTTTAAATATTAAGACATTAATTTTGCTACCGTCTGAAAAGAAGATTTCTGAAACTACGGAAATTCCGTAGCAGTTGGAGGGTATGAGTAGGTTAAAATGATGTTTCTGTATAACAAATAATCAATTTATCAGCCTACATATTGACTTCTCAATTTCTCACTCTAAAATTATTGTTAAACCAAACAAAATGCATAAGAAACAGACATGAATAATTACAATTAAAAAGCATACAGCTTCTTCATTATTTATGCAAAGCATCATTATCAGTGTTTACTTAAATTTTTGACATTAATTCAGAAGAAAACGTCATTTTAAAAATATGTTTTTCAGTGATAAAAATTGATGCATTAGGAGACTTACATTTAGCGAATAAAAATTCGGCGTATCGTAAAGAATTTTTGAACTGCGAAATTATGGGAACATAAGCAGGGCTTGCAACTTATTAGCAGTTTCTTCGCGATAATACTTTAAAAGAATAGGCGTAATTATTATTATTCTACAATTCTTACTGTTTTATTCGCTACTAATTAATTAAAACTTTTGAATAAAGTTGAACTATCAGAGTGCATTACAAAGTAGCATTTTGTATGAACTTTTTAATCATTCGCATGTAGTGGGGGTAAAATAATATTAAATTAAATTTGCAAAACAAAGAATCATTTAGCAAAACACAAACTTATCTACCAAAATTTTCCCGAAAAACGTAGAAAATTATCAGCCCTGTTTCAAAGAGACAGAATTTCTCTGTTACACAATTGCTTAATTCATACCTGCCAACATTCACTCTTTTCGAGAATGGATTTTCCAAGTGGTAGTAAAACAATTCCCGAAAAACGATTTTCCTCAAAAATATATTTATATTTTGTCTGGGTTGGGTTTTGCTATCGCAACGACTAATATACTTTTATATATTTGTTGTAATTATTTATATGTAGTGGTGGTCAAACTGATTTAAAATTATTATTATAATTCAAAAATTTTAGTGAAATAACATGAATTTCGATAGCACTTTAAATATGAAAATAAAATCTTTCGGGAAAACCTTGAAGAGTTGCATACCTGCCAACTTTTAATCCCTTCCATTATCGTTTTTCCCAGTGGTATTAAAATGGAATTAAAACTTCAATTTTAAGCAAACAAATACGCTGCATTTGAGAAAACTTAAGTTGACAACCATGATAGTACTGCATATAAATATATGTGCTTAATTTTTGAAAGAATAGTGGTGATCAAAATCATTTAAAAATTAAGTTTATGAGAGAAAAATAATATATATTTACTACCACTTTAAATATGAAAATAAATTCTTCCGCAAAATGCGGAAGAGTAGGCAGGTATGGAGTTGGCAGCTATGTAATTTGCTTCGTTTAGGGAAGAAAAACTTTGTATTATACATAACTGCCAATTTTGTACATGTTTTGAATATATATTTCTTTTTTAGGTCAAATTTAATATTAATTTTTATTTATTTATACTTATTAATCCTTTATATAGAGTGGTAGAAAAAATGAATTCAAATGAATAAAAAATAATATATTAAAATATAAACTTACCATTGGGATAAACTTTTATAAAAAACGTTGAAAGTTGGCAGATCAGCATTTAACTCGATGTTTGAACCTCTTTTTATGAAAAGATGTAAACATGATTAATTATACTTTAATTAACAATATTTTTCTTTACCACTTAGGAATTGCTCAGATGCAAACGAGAGCTGGACGAGGAAAGACAGCGCCATCAGCATTCGATTGATCACTTAAAACAGTGCCTTCGAATCGGCAGATAACAAAATAGTTGGATTCAGACGCATATATAAATTGTACAAGAATTTAAAAATATATCCTTCTGATGCTCCAAGAGGTTCTCTTAAATAAACGAATTCGAAACAGTGATATATTTGAAGATACGACTACAGTATTGAAGATGAGGTCACACTGTGTGTTGAATTGATTAAAGATATTTTACATATAGAATTTCAATCTATTGAATTGAGAATCAAATTCAAAGATTTGTTTTTAAAAAAAGTCATCTTTAACACTAGTCTTTTTTGTTGTTGATTTTTGTTGTTTTACTTTGCTTTTTTGTTGAGTTTACACCTAGGACCAATGATCTTTTACCCTTAAAGGGACCATGCAACAACTATTTTATCAAATGGATACTTTTTAGAGATTTTTAAGCTAGTCTTATTTTACGTGGGAAAGATGGTTGAAGAGTTTACATCGCCAACTTCTTGTATACTTCGTAATTATTGATTCTCTGTGAGTTACGTCTTTAAATGTTGTTTCGCTCATGCAAACATTATTGTCATGAAATCTTTCCTGTTGTATATCATTGTACAATCTTGTGATTTATCTTCATGTTTTGCACATTGATACATATTCTTATGCTGTTATATTTATATTTTACTTTATTTAGGTTAAAAGAAATTAAATGTGGTACATTAAACATTGACTTGTGAATTTTTTATTTAACATTCATTTGTACCTAAAAGAACACATGCAACAAGCAGCTAAACCTATTCAGCAATCAAATGAGACGAGAATGTGGAAAATCATTTTAATTCTTTAACCGCTTCCTTTACCAATTTTTTTGAAGGAAAAAAACAGCAAAAACTCAACAGATTTATTTTATTTCATTAATAAATACAAGAAACTAAAACAAAACGTAATTCAAAAGTTTTAAGCTGAATTTTTATTATTTTTTCTGTAAAAAACATTTAGTTTACCATCAGTATACTTTCCCGATTTATCTCGGAAGTTAAATATTAGTCTTTGTTTGATAGTTTTTAAAACAATGGACAAAACAAAATGTAACAAAACATTCCAAACGCCAGTGAATTGATACGCTATTTTTTTTTACTCTTTTTTCTATGTAAATATAGCAACCATCGTATATACAATCGCACAAACATGTGTGCAGTCCTACAGACCAACAATAAAACTCCCGAACAAAACTTGGCAAACTTAGAATAGCAGCAGATTTTTTTTCTTTTTGCTTCCGGCTGAGTAAAAAGTTAATGATACAAAACGTACTGACAAATTCTGCAACGCCCGAGTTTTCTCGGGATAATAAATAATTGCAGTATATACATACCCGAGTTAACTCGGGATAATCAAGGAACTGGTTAAGCGTTAGACATTCGAACAAATAATCCTCAACTGAAGATTTAAATCAAATTTTGAACACTATAATTACTAACCTTCTTGCATTGAAATAGTTATAATACTAATTCTCTATGCTGTAAAGAAGAGTGTTTTACAATGTGCACAAAAATAATGCTGAATGACTTTTGAACTAAGGATCAGATCTTCATGTTCTAGGAGTTTTGAACTAATGATCAGATCTTCATGCTCTAGGAATTTTGAACTAATGATCAGATCGTCATGTTCTAGGACTTTTGAACTAATGATCAGATCTTCATGTTCAAGGACTTTTGAGCTAATGATCAGATCTTCATGTTCTAGGACTTTTGAACTAATGATCAGATCTTCATGTTCTAGGACTCAATTTTAAAGGTTTAAGGAAAAGGGACCTCAAATATGCTAATTGATTAGTGCAGATGACATTTTAATTTTCAATATCAGCCACAAAATCGTACTGTCTATAAACATACCATGTTTTTATTATTCTTATTTTATTATTTTTTGATGCATTCGGATTTTTGTCGCTCAAAATATAGAAGGTAGCCGCAATCTAAGAATATGGCCCCCACAATTTGGTTAAGGAGAACAATCTAAAGTTCTGACCCCTTCATGCTAATTTTACTTTTTGCATATATTGCCATATCTTCAACGTTTATCGCTATATCTTTGCATAAATCAAAATCAAATTTTAAATATGTGATACTTTTTTTTTTTTTGGTTTCTCGGGAATAATTCGACCGATTTCGCTCAAATTTTGTATTTTGAGCTGTAAAACTACATCCTTTAAAATGATGTGCAAAATTTTATAACTTACAATTCAAACATTTTCCGACTGTTATTAAATAAAATAATAATAAATAATTGCCATGTTATTTTTCGCTTGGAATTATCTTTTTGCAAACGAATTTCATAATTGGATGCAAAAATTTCTTGAATCTCTGGGAATTTCTCCGGAAATTAAAGTAAATGCGGGTTAGTTCTATCAAAAAGTCCCCGACGAAGGCATATTTTTCCCAATATGTTGATCCAGGAGTCCCCTTGTCTTCTGGATTGGAATCAAAATTACAAGGCTACTGAGTTGAACATTAGTAATTGTAAACCCGAAAATTAGGTTGGCTGTTCAACAACGGTTATAAAATAAAAATAGTAACTTCTATATGTTAAAATTTCATTGAATTCATACTTCAAGGCTTAGCTGATTTCGAAATTTAGTATTCAAATTACGCGAACATACATTTTATTCACGAAATTACCACAAGAAAACTCGATTCTCTACAGAATTTACACAACTTACCTATGAGAACGTGAAAGATGCTACACAAGAGTGAGGGAGATTTCCGTATCGTGATCTGTGGTGGAATAATTGCCGTGCCTTGGCAACTTACGGGCAGCTGCCAGTGAAAAGCTAAAAGAAACATCACAGAACGGTACCAACTCCAAAGTTATAATTCGTAGGCAATAGGCAAACATCTACATGTTTTTTTTCTTTTTTAAAAATGCTAGTTTAAAATCTATTTGGCACCTTGGCGATTATAATTTGCGCTACCTACCTCTGTGGGCACGACAGAAAGAGTGCAAAATTACTCCAATATTTCTAATATTTTGCGAATTGCGATCATTGAAATCTGCTTTACGGATCAGCTATTCATTGATGGCAACAAAATAAAATTATTTCATCACTGATCTGATTATTTTGTCGAAGTAATGCGAGAAAAGAACTATGTATTTATGTTGATGTTAAATGTTCAGTTTCTTCACACAAAAACTGAGATCAGAAATTTTAGTTAAACTTTATAAATACTTCTGACTTTCTGCTTTTTACAAAAATGATAAAACAAACATTTTCACTACGCCGGCTCAATATCCATATCCAGTAGATCTGTCTTGAAGTCGGCTGGTCTCACTTTCATTTCTACGAATTTTAATGGCTCTGTCATGCCTTTCCAAGTGCGCCACACAATACCTTCACTGTTCTTCTCTGAAAGATTTTTGTATAAACCGTTGAGATTAGAATCTGCACAATCTGCGTACCACCATCCACCTTTATGCTCATTTGCGCACAGTCGAGTGCTGTTATCATTGTCTCGATCGATGGTTGAAAACTGCTGATTACCATGAGCCCGAGCTAGTGAGTCACCTAAAATGAAAATTCAAAACACATTTAATATAAGAGCAGTTAACATGCTATCAGTAAGGGATTCAATTATTTCCTCCCAGCATCCAATGTGGAAACTAACCCGTAAAAGCTAAGCTTATTTATAAAAAGTGGATAATTTCTAGTTTCACTGCTCCATATTTTCAAAAAATATATTTCACTCAATACATTTTATAACATTCAAAGCTCCATTTCTGAAAAAAAAAATTTCGCGAACTCTCACTTACAAAAAGAAGAGTATATGCTATCTATTATCAGAGATGGCAACATGCTCCAGATGTGGGATGAAATTTTCTGGTAGTATCAAAAATTATGTTTTATTATATGGTTTAGTAAATTCGATTTATTGAATTTTTACCTACCACTATTTCTATATAATATAATGTCTTATGACAAACGCTACTTTCAGAGAATCAAACAGCTCCGGACACGCCAAAATAATTTAAAAAACGGTAAATTACCCGAAAAGAAATTTTGCAAATATTTGACTACTTTTGCTTGCTTTTAAAAGGGTAGAGCATGCATAAGTACTGTAACGCGGTGAATTATATAAGCCTACAAATTATTTAGAAATAGTGGTGCATAAAAATCTACTAAATTGAATTTATTAAGCCAAGAATCACAATTGATAAACTACCACTTTAAAATATATTTTACTCTCTGGAGCAAGTTGGCATCTCTGTACTTTGTTACAATAATGGGGAAATTACCAAGGGTAATCCTCGACTCGGAGGTATCCACTCCTAGCTATTTACCTAAAGTTTTACTTGAAGTCTCACTACTACTTCAGATCTACTAAGGCCACTTCAGTGAAAGGATCAAAAGGGTGATCCCGGACCCAGAAGTGACCAACACCCCAAATTAGAGCTTTTTCATGCGATTAGATTAAATGTAGATTTGATCTGACCACTGCCTCTGCAATTCACCGCCAATATCCAATACCATACCCTCCAACTTATGAGGATTTTGAAAATAATTCTTTCTAGTGGTAGCAAACCAAAGTAGAAATTTTTAAAGCAAATGGATCTCTCATAAAACTTTTATCAGAACTTAAGAATCTAGCCATATGGCCTGCACTTTTATAAGTAATAGTGGACAAGTTACGCTAAAATTAATTTTTTTTAAATATTAAGACATTAATTTTACTACCGTCTGAAAAAAAGATTTCCGAAACTACGGAAATTCCGTAGCAGTTGGAGGGTATGTCCAATACCAACGACATTATTCCAGGTGCCCACGGGCACAATCACAGATGAAAGTGTGGAGTGTCCGTACTCTAGTACGGTGTACCTGTCCTTCGCGGACAGGTACACCGTACTAGAGTTCAGTTCAAGAATTTCGAGATGAACTTTTAAATATTTAGTATAATTAACAGAAAATATGAAAACTAATATGAGAAAACATAGTTCTGTTCCCTTTTTTTTGTTGAATATTTTGTAGTTCTCGAGCAATTGCACACCCACGCATATTGCCGGAGTTGAAATTATGGGCTACTAAATTCATAGATTTTCGATCCCTTTTTTTAACTTATGACTTACACGCGACATAACTTAATTGAAAATTGGCGTATTGCATAAGCTTTTAAATTATTCAGCAGTAGTGGTGAGTAAAAACCCAATAAATCGAATTTATAAAATCGCAAATCATACATTAAAAGACTACCACTCGAAAATATTCATTCGCTGTCCGGAGCAAGTTGGCGTCCTCTTTATTTAAGCATACACTTAGCTACCAGAAGAAGAAATTTTTCCTAAAAAAAAAAACAACCTTGCAAGCTACCAAACATCTTTACTTTACCGTTTTTTAAGATATTTTGCGGATTCGAAGCAGTTGATATCTCAGCCCACACCTATTAGAAATATTCAAGAAAATTAGTCCTTTTATTAAACTGTTTGCTCACATTTGCCATATGGATTACACATTGACAAACGTCTAAAAGTTATTTAGAAATGTATCCCAACACCAAAAAGTTTCTAAAAACTTTTAAAGTTTATAAATATATCTTTTACAAATAAAGTGGTAAAAAAATAATTCTAAAATTTTTATTTACGCAACCTTGAAGATCGAATTTTCGTCGCATTTATTCAACAGCTTGATTTTGCCTAATTTGGGTGTGGGGATATCAAATCTGAATTTAGTTTTATTCCGAAAACCACTGTAAAGACGTAGGATTCTACATACAATCAAGACCAGTTAGCCTCTCAAGCTTATTTATCTCTATTGCTATAAATGCACAAAACACAAGCAGAAAAACTGTAATATGGCAAAAATACAACAATACTATCAATATTACCACTATTTTATACTCTCTCGGCTCTAGACTCTTCGTCCCTTCAAGAAGAAAAACAAACAAGATTAAAAAAAACGTTTCAAAATTTAGCATAATTAACAGAAAACATGAAAACTAATATGAGGGACTGTTCCCCCTTTTTTTTTGTTGGTTGAATATTTTGTAGTTCTCTAGCAACTGCACGCCCACGCATATAGCCGGAGTTGAAATTATGGGCTGCTAGATTGTCGATTACATTTGCTAAATTATTCAGAGATTCCAACTGCTCCGGACATGCCAAAATAACTATTAAAAAAAACGGTAAATAACTACAAAGTAAATTTTGCAAGTATTTGCGATATTTTTGAAAGCTAACAAGTCTTAAAAACATTTGTAATATTAATTTTTTATTTCTCTATGGATGTTGTGAGAAGCTAGTTTTGGGGGGTTGGTAGCTAAGTATTACGTAATACAGATTATAAAAGTATGATTTTTGTTGACTTGAATGCATTCTTCACACACTGAAAATAAAATAACTATCTTCTTTATTGTTTGATTTGGGAACTTGTAATGCCCACAATTTGCTTAACTTGAAGTTGTCCAATGTGCGATTACTTACCAGCATCTCCACTGAAGTCATAGATGTGAAGCTTGTAGAACTGACTCTCGTTGTCTATCCAAAACTGATCGTAGAATGCATAGCGGGAATTATTTTGGTGATCACTCAAATCAATGCGAAGATAATACTTCTTTTGATTAGTTAGTGCATAGATATTGTCGTTGCCTAAAAAGGAAACAATAATAAATAAATTAATAAATGCAGTTATTTCAACAACAACAACAACAAAAATTTCCACGAAATTATGGATGTTTTTTATTAAATTGTTCCACCCTCACAAGACTTCGTCGCAACACTTTACTATGCTGTCTTAGATAGCATTGCTAAAGATTGCATGGTTTTTGCACATTAACTCCCAGTTTTACTGCTCACTGACTATTAATCACATATATGATTACTTGCGATTCATTTATGAGCGATAGCGAAAGAAGAACTAACTCCCTGTATCCTGGAAAATTGAATTAGAATTCTAAATATAATTTGTTTGCACAGCAGTTTGTTCTTATATTTACTTCAAAATGTAATTACATCAATAATATCTGTGATAAGACATGAGCCAAAATATGAAAAAGTGATGATCAATACAAAGCAGTGATCAATCAAAAAAGTTTAAATCTAACAAAAGTCTTGTGGCGCCAGGCATGGTGCGTAGGCGCCAAAAGAATCAACGGGATTACAAACACACGATTGGAACTTCCCCCAGTATTTAAGAAGCTTCGAACTTTACTCAGTCTCTATCCCACACCGTCCTACTTTATTTTATGTTTCTGTTTTAGCTTCTTATGTTTCAGTTGTAGCTTGTTATGTTTCAGTTGTTAATAAATGTTTAGTTGATTTTTGTCATAGTTGTCTTCAACTTAATATGAGAGGGTTCCTCCCCCTCAGTCTCTCTAATTTCTTTCAGTCTATAACAAGGATGGGCAAACTATGGCCGACGGGCTAACTGTGGCCTGCCAGAAGGTTTTATCCGGCCCTCGGATAGAATTTTAACTTGCCAATTCATTTTCTTGTCTACTTTGTTTACAGTTATTTTTGTTATTTCTATTTTAACAAAGTACTGATGACCTTTTATTTACTCTATTTTTGTTCTACAAAACAAATTGATGAAAATAGCTAGCTCAGAAAGCTTCAATTGGTAAAACGTTGAAAGCAGAAGTTCTTTATAGAGCAGCAGTAGTTTGGCGCCCTCTGAAGCAGTTGTTTCTAAGTATGTCAAATTATGAGTTTCACTAATCATTACCAAAAGCTAGTTTCCCAAGTTTAATTCTATGCCCAGAAAGAGAGTGCTATGTTTGCTTCATTTTATATATGTAAACAAGTGTTTTCAACTATGAACCTTAGAAAAAATCATTTCAGAAGCAAACTAACAGACAAACATTTGGCCTCGTGCCTTAAAATAAATACATCTCACTTGGAACCACAATATAAAGAACTTTTAAAAATGAAATCCCATTTTCATTCATCTCATTAAATATTTAAATTAAAACTTGTATATCGTTTTTTTTTATTTTAGATGTTTTTACTTGGCCCACCAAACTTTTTTCTCTTAATTTTTGCTCTCGACCAAAAACGTTTGCCCACCCCTGGTCTATATATATATAAAAATGAATGTCTGTCTTTTTATAGACTCCTAAACCATACAATCTCGAGCGATGAAATTTGGCATACTGGTAGTTTAAAGCACGGGAAAAGTCGCTGTTGACATTAGAACCTTTCGAGCGGAATGAACGTAAAACGAATAGAATTTTCTTTTTGGTTTAGAACAAGATTGATAAAAATTAAATTACAGACGATTCCGATCTTTTATTACACGTTTTAAAGATCACATCAGTGTTGCTTTCAAGCTTATAACTTTTTTTTTTAAAAAAAAGGGTTAATTTCACGTTCTTTAATATTAAACTTTTTTTTGCTCGTTATGTCAAATTAACTCGATGATCAACGTGAACGTGAGAGTATAAACAGAGTATGTCACTAGATTAGTATTCCTGAATTTATCTGAAACCATGTTTATATTTCTTTTGTAGTTACACTTTTAAAACGTGCTTAAATAAACTGAGTAATTTAAAATGACAGTAATTGGGTATAATATGAAAAAAACACAACTACTTCGATTTAGTAGGAACAACATATGACGCAATGCTAAACGAATGGAATTTAGTTGTTGTTTATTTAGTTATTGTTATTAGTAGTTGTTGTTATTTGTTTTAGTTGTTGTTGTTTATTTAGTTTCAATAACTTTTCTTTATAATGCAATAAAATCTGCGAGCAGCTATTTAAACGATCGAACACTTCGTTTGTTTATTTGTGGCTTGAAGTTAGGCTCGCAGAAAATGCCGTTCATGGGTTAAATTTAGTAGGAACAACACAACCTGTGACGTAGGCTATATTATACCCAATTGAAGAAAAATTATGTACAGTTAAGACAAATTAATGGAGAACTAGTACTAATCCTCTTAGGAGAAATAACACAACGCCAATTTATTATTAACGATTATGATGCTTGATTAATTTTGGTAATACATCAAGCATCATTATCGTTACTAACTTAATTTTTAAAAAAAGCTACGTACATTTATGGAGAAATGTTGCAAATTTATTTATAGCAGAAGCGTGGAAAGTTTCCAAGATATTTTTGACGTCAATGTTTACAGATTGATGGTGATAGGTACCAATTGAAATTTAAAAAAAAAATATGTAAATAAACTAAATGCGAAGTTAATAAAAAAAAATGGCCCAAATTTGTTCAGGAGAAACATAAAAATCGCAATGCTATTAATGACGCTAATTATGTCTGGTTAATTTTGCACTAATAAGTATTAATTGGAATAAAAAATATATAATCTCTTTGATGAAAACCAAAGTAAATGGAGTGACGAGTAAAAAAATTACAAAACTATTATTAATTCCATTTATGCCTAATTAATCTTGGTTATAAGTCTATACTGAGTACTGTCACTAATTAAAATTTTAAGGAAAAAAGTCAAGTATTCAATGATTTATAAAGCAAAATTAATTTAGGAAAAGCTAATTCATTCTAGAAAAACGTGAAAGGTCCTGACGAAATTATTGACGCCAATGATCTTCTTTATTTAAATAAAATGGGCACCTGGGCTGCGAAGCGCCCCCATCCCATTCATCATTAAATTACATACAGTAAGGTAAAATACATTGATTTGGCAAACATTGTGGTAGCCATAAAAATGACGCCAATGACGCTTAATTAATTTTGATAATAGACTGGAATTAACGCATTAACTACTGGTATTAAGGTATTTTGAACAGTTTTAACATGCATCGAGCATAGTAATCTAGGTACAATGCATTATGTTAGCATATTTGACACCTATTAATATTGCATCAATAGTTGAAAGTTACAGATACTGCTGAATATTGTCCCTTTCGAAACAAAGTACAGTTGAAAGTCGTTTGATTGTGTACAATTTTGACAATCATGGTTTGGCAATCATGATTTGGCATCAAGCAACAGTATACCAGCCTGTTTAGAAAGTAATGGCAATCGTTTCTCAATGCTGGACAAATTGCCCCCAGGGCCTGATTATCGCCTAGGCCCAATAGGCAAGGGCCTCAAAAATTTCTAGAAATTTAGTTAATAAAAGGTGGGCTAGCTTTGTATTGGTTTAAGTATTAAATAAAAAACAGTGTTACAACAAACAGTATTAAATAAAAATCAGTGACTTGAAGCAAAAATCCCTGATTTCAATTGTTTGTGGACACCAAACTATTTTTATTTTGATATAACATTGTTTTGTTGTTTTATATGTTGCTTTAATTTATAGATACATAAAATTTATCTAAGAAAAATAATCTTCAATTGTGTGCTCTTAAAATTTCTCAAAATGTTTCTCTTGAATCACGCAGTTCAATAGATTATTTTTCAATTATTAGGACTACTCTTCAGTAATTTAATTTCAAAATATCTTGTAAGGGGCCCGGATAATTTGGTGGGCCTTGGGCCTGAATTTGTCTTGATCGGTCCGTGATTGCCCCCATCCTCTTGTGGTCACGAAATTCTGGACCTTTAGCCACTGAGACCCCCAGGCGTACAATGAGCTGCCACGGAAATATAAAAAAATTACAAAACAATTATGAAACTACAATAAGATGATTTTGATTGCTATCCTGACAAGAACATTTATTTATTTTTCAATAGGTATGTACGTTTCATACAATATTTACTTGATCTAAGCATTTTATTTAACTTTTAATGTATTGCAACTTTCTACTAAATGCAGAATTTGTATAAAATATTTACTTACCTAGCCAAAAATCTCGTCTAAGATCACCAAATCCACTCTTGTATAAGTGCCAACGTTTTAAGAAAAAGTCTGATGGTCTCTTAAAATTCCCTCTCCTTTGAATGACCTAATAATTGCAACATTGTGTGATTAAAAACTCTTCAATTTAAATCTATGAATTATGATTTATTGAAACATTTCCTTCAATATTTCACTTTATTGTAAAATGAAATAGACACTAAAGGGGTATGAGTCACAATTCTGAAGCACTTTTTTTTAAGTCAACACAATTTTTTATACAGCATTAATTTTTTTATTTGTTGTAATTTTTTATTTGGAGTATCATTTTCAAATTAATGACAATCATAATTTTTAATTCTTTATACCGGAGTATGATAGTTACAAAAAATTGTTCACATATCCTCTATAAATAATTTTTCAAAAAAAAAATGTTTGAAAATTCAAAATTTTTGAAAAAATTTATTTTTAGTTTTTTAATGTAATTTAAAAATAAGATATTTCATTATTATTTTTTTTTGTTTTGTTTTAAATAAAAATGTATATTTTTCGAATTTAACTTCAGTATTTTTCGTAACGCAAATTTAACTAAAATTTGTAGTTATGGTTTGATTTTAGGTTTGTTAAAATGTGTAGTTGATTTTCTTTTTAATTTCTGCTTTAGTTATCTTAGAGTTTTAGTTGGTCCAGTTTTCCTCTTCGTTTCTTCCTTTCATGGATAAGAAAAGGTATTAATGACTTATTTTGTTGCTTAGACATCATTAGTGCCAACGCAAAAATTGGTTTTGGTCTGTCGTACATTTCGGACTCGGGAAGACTCGGGCTCTAAGCAATTATATATATCTCAAGCTTGGGTCAAATTGGATTAAAATTCTCTGGGTTCGGTCGGGATAGCCTGATTGGTAGAGTGTTGGACTCCTGTTAGTGAGAACGGAAGTTTAAATCCAGTCGACCGAAGAATTCCTGAGTGTTAAGTCTGATGGGGTCACTCCAAGTTCCCATATTTAAAAAAAAATCAATGCTTTTGGGGGTACCAATTCAGGAGTTCACTTGTCTTATAGATTGGGTCCAAAAATTACAGGAATATGGAGTTGAACATTGGTAATCATAAACCTAAATTTGGGTCTGCTGTTCAATGAAGGTAGAGAAGACTTCTAAAAGTGCGTTCGAACTTATCTCTAATCCTTTCGTGTCACATATTTTTACAATTCAATGTGTAATGATCGCTCCGTGTTTTCTGAAAAAGAGTCATTACATTTCCTTAATTACTGTAAAGATATACTTACTGTCCATCCTCCACCATTCGTTTCCATGTCACAAAACACAGTGATGCTTCCAGACATGATGCGATTTCGAGGCCAAATTTCATAGACGCCACTTCTATTCTGTCCACACTGCATTACTTCGTCACAATCCATGGGCTTAGGTGGACAACTGCAGTCCGTTCCTCCCTCTAATAACAACAAACACAAATGGGTGACAAAATAATACGAAAACTTCCATGCTAACTGTACGTAAGCAATCTTTCTTTTAGTAGGAAAATGATTTGGAATATTGTTTTTACATAGCAAAACTGTTGGAACTCCCTAAGAGATCCTGTTTTATTTTTTTTTTAATAAATGGGATATTCATTGGGTCAGTACTTTCTAGCTCTTATACCAGCAATTTTAAAATCATGCAACAGTATTGGGACGTTTATACAAGAATGCCTTAAGAGTTATAGTGGCAGTAAAAAAAACAATTAATAATTTTTAAAAATGGTATCATTTATCTCATGCAACGTTTGGATCGATCGAAACGGGGAAAACAAGTTAACTACTTCCTTCTCGCTCCCGTCAAGATGACGGGAAGAAATTTCGCCCTCTATTTCTCGTACCCGTGATATTTCTGGCCTTGTGTGTTCAAAATTAACATGACGAAAAGATCTATTTCTCATGCCCAGAATCATATTTATTTCTCAATCTGCACAATAGATGTCAGTGCCAGACAGTTATTAATGTATTTATAGATTGTTTATTTGATACTAGATGTCAGCCCCCATCAAACACGTAAGCTAAAAATGTACCCAAAAATTACATTTGAATTCATATATGGTATATACTCTTAGTTTTACATAATTTTATTAAATAAAAAAATGAGCACTTTTATGACCGTTTTCTTCAAAATTATGTGACCATTAAGGGGTTAAAAACTTCTATCTAGGTTTAATATCAGCAATAATTAAATCACCATATAGGATTGCAGTATTTACATAAGAATGCTTTTAGAATTACAGTGATTTTAAAAAAAGAAAATTTCTGTGCTCACTTTAGTCGATACAAATTTCAAAAGGACTTCATTTCTAAAAGCATCAATCATCATACTCTTAATTGAAAGAATGCCACAGGCGACTAACAATGTAGAGAGTGGTGATTAATGAATAGCAAAACTCTATTAAACATGATTAAAATTAGCCAATTTTCCTTGCCTATTTCTTACAGTTTACTATTGAAAGTGTTGTTGTTGTTTCTATTGCCAGCTTTCCATTGCAGCACGCCTGCTTGGAAAAAGAAGTGAATTTAAGGCAGAGGGTGCGTTTCCTGTTTTCAGTGGCGCCATCTTCATCTCAACAAATAGCATGTCCGTTAATTAGATAGAAGCAGGCGTGATTGTGAAACAACTTTCGGAAAACAATCAGGTCATTTGTTAACCAGACAATAAAAAAACTCAAGTGTAACATGTGAATATACTAAAGCCTTACTTTCAAGGAGAAGGAAACGTCAACGTGTTGCGTGTGGAAAGAAATTTTATCAAATGAGACGAGGAAATTCCTCATCTTAAATTAGAATTTGAAGACTATGAATTATTAGAAATTAAGCAAAATACACAGCACAAAACAATTAAAGGATATTGAGGTTGTAGGTTGATCTTTTACCAGGAGAATAGTTTGAATAATAAATATATTATCGACAGACTCAGGAGGCTATATGAGATAAAAATGACATTTGTTTGTCAGAAAAAATGCTTTTTATTAAGTATTTGGGTATCAAAAGACAAAAAAGCAATTTGTGCAAATGAGAAAAACAAATAAAAAAGGTGTTTCCTTAAAAGAAAATCGTTTTTGGTAGGAGGTATAGTTTCCAAGGACAGTCAGCAACGTTGAACGCTTTTAAGGAATCGAGTCAATGAGGTTATTACTGAGAGGCTTTATAGTTCTTAGAGAATTTGTGGGGGTGGTTGGCGTCTAGCAATTCATCTGTCTAGAATGTCTCAAACATGCTCGATTGGGTTAATGTTCTGAGAATACTCTGGCCATTCCATTCGTATAATTCCTTTCTCCAAAGGGAAATCATCCACCAAGTTAGCATGATGTGGCCTGCAATTGACGTCCATAAACATGAAGTCGTCTCCAATTGCCGTAGCGTAAGGAACTACAATAGGTCTCAGGATCTCATCCCTATATCGGCGACCGGCCAGAGTCTCATTTCGAATGATATAGAGAGAGGTGCGCCCATCAACGGAGATGCCAGCATAGACCATACCACCAAATCTTACACTTTCGAACACGAACCCGGGATTGTTTCTAGTGCTACGTTCCCCGAGATGAAAATACGCTTATTATCAGGAAAAGCAGAAAAACTGTACTCGTCAGAAAAAAAAAGAATATTGAGCCATTCATTTCTCTGCCAGTTTACATGCTCTGTTGCCCAATCCTAGCTGGTGTGACGGTGCCTTTAACGTGATAGATACTATTTGTCGACGAGCATGCAGACCTACAACATAAAGGTGGTTTCAGACAGTGTGTGCCGAAATTGTGGTACCAGTAACTGAGAGAAGGTCCAGAAGAGTGGCAATCACTTTTCGGTGTTTCCAAGCAGCTAGCGTAAAATAACTCTCTTCATTGGGCGTTGTTACATGTCTACGCCCTTGACCTGTTCTTCGACCTGCACTTCTTGTCACCAAAAACCGGTTCCGCATAGTGGAAATCACACTTTGTGAAACTCCAATGGCTTCTACTCTCGGCTTATGTTTAGCCCCCCTCTAACCAGCCAAAAACTCTCCAAACTTTTCCATCACATTCATCAAAATAGTTTGGTTACCAGTTTTACCATTTTCACCCTGATTATCGACACCCTGAGAATGCATATATGACTCGCTCGTCTCGAAGAGGTTAAATGAATTCACCAACTCAAAATTTTCCCCACTACTTTATCTTAAAGAGTTGATAGAGAAAGTACCTACCGCCATTTATACATATTTCAGTCTTGGACTTAACCAGAGGTTCCTGGCAGATTCCATTAAGTAAAAAAGCCCGAAGGTTTACTGTTCGTAACAAATTTTGGAACTTTCAGACCATTGCGTTTATTTTTTGGTTTAAAAAACGCACCATATGATTTCAGTTGACTTAAGGCAAATATATTAAAAGAGTGTGAAGAGTATGCAGTGCCTTATTTGGATGATGTGGCCATAATCCCCCATACGAACATTTAAAGCCCTTGGAGCATTTCCACATTTCAGACTTTTTCCGCAAAATGAGTGCTACTATGTTGCACTTAAAATTGTCAAAATGCCAATTTGTCCAAGCTTATTGAAAGTAACTTGGAGATTTAGTTGGGAAAAGCCAAAACATTCTTGGGGAACTAAAGGTCCAAGCCATAAAAGAATTCCCAATACCAAGATTTCAAGTCAAAATTGTTTTGAGATTACCTAAATATTATCGAACATTTATTCCAAACTTTGCTATAATTGCAGCTCCGCTTACAAACTTACTCAAGGGCATAGCATAGGGCAATCATAAAGCAAATGTTGACTGGCATAGTTTTTGCCAAAATGCATTACAGGATTAAAGAAAGACTCTGTGACAATCCTGTTTTAGATAGAACGGACTATACAAAGCTTTTCATCATTCAGTGTGATTCTTCGAATCTTGGGATTAGTGTTGTACTGTCACAGATGTTAGAAAACGAAGAACATCCTATCATGCTCCTGAGTAAACAATTTTCACCTAAAGAGCAAAAATATAGTACTACGGTGCTGTAACTATTTTTACAGTGAAAAAATTTAAATGTTACTTTGAATATAGGCAAATGTTTCCTTGAATATTATCAATGATGTGTGATAATATCCATTAGTGTGGCTAGAAACAAATCCTAGACTTTGAAGATGGGCATTAATTGTACAATCATTCAGTTATGAGAGTGTCCAACGCAAAGGAGAACAAAGACAGAATGCTGATAGTTTGAGTCGTTATCCCTTAAAACTGATCAAAACATAAATACCTTCATAAGATATCTCAGAAATAAATATTTTAAGGAAATTAAAATTATTTCTCTGTAATTTTTAAATTAGCAGCATTTGCGTAATAGTTTTAAAATTTTGGATTTTACGTGTGTTTTTAGTTTTCCCAGACCCAAAATAGTAGGGAAAGATACATTGAATTGCAAAATTTAAGGTACCAATTTTCCTGATAGAACTGGTTCTTATTTCAATGGATAGCCAATTAAGGAAATTATCTTGGGAAATAATTTTTTTTCCTTTTAAAAAAGTTTTTTCATGAGGGAAGGACGACTGTAAGAAACTAGTCACTGGATGGCGTAGCAAACGTTTTTTTATGTTGGTCTTTTTTCTGAAGAGTAGAGCCGAGAGAGAATAAAATGGTAGTAATATTGATTGTATTGTTGTAGTATTTGTGCGATATTATAGGTTTTCTGTTTGTGTTTTGTGCATTTATAGAAATAAATAAACTTGAGATTCTAACTGGTCGTGATTGTATGTAGAATTCCTACGTCTTCACAGTGGCTTTCGGAATGAAACTAAATTCAGATTTGAAATCCCCTCACCCAAATTAGGCAAAATCAAGCTGTTGAATAAATGCAACGAAAATTTGATTCCTAAGATTATGTAAATAAAAATTTTAGAATTATTTTATTATCACTTTATTTATAAAACAATTATTTTTAATTTTTTAAAGTTTTGATTTATCTTCCGGGTATTATCTTCCTCTAAGCCATTTAAAAACATTTGTCAATGTGTAATCCATTTGGCTAATGTGAGCAAACAATTAATTAACCGCTTAACTTGAGCGCTAGGGCAAACTGTGGACACTCACGATAATTCGAGCGACGTTGTATTTTATGCTGCTATAATTTTCACGCTCGAACATAATCGAGAATAGAAAAGGTATTTTTTCTGTGTTCTAAAGTGTGTTTTCTTACATTAAAAAAATTGTTTGTTTTTTTCAAAAAATCTATGCGTTAAGAGGTTAAAGGAGTATTTCTCATGAATATTTCTAATAGCTGTGGGCTGAGATATCAACTGCTTCGAATCCGACAAAATATCTTAAAAATCGGTAAAGAGGTAATTGCTACGTTTTTTTGGAAAAATTTCTTCTAGTGGTAGCTAAGTATATGCTTAAATAAGGAGATGCCAACTTGCTCCGGACAGCGAATAAATATTTTCAAGTGGTAGTTAACTAATCGTGATTCTTAGTTAAATAAGTTCAATTTATTAGATTTTTATCTACCACTATTTTTCAATATATGTATGAAATAATATAGTAATATCTAAATATAGGTAGCAAATATGTAATCTCTATTTAAGGTAATAATTAAGGTAAGAATCTGGCCATATTCTAGCCGTTAATATATATATATTTCTGAATTCAGTATTGTAATTCATTTATCATTTTACTACCTCAAGGGAGTATCATCCTTCTAAAAATCAAAAGTTGGCAGGTATGCAAGCCATTAAGGTATTAAAAAATCGGCACATATTCCTACCTTCAGTATTGCAATTCAATTATCATTTCCTAATCTCAAGAAAAAATTATTATCTGAAAAACTAAAGTTGGCAGGTATGCAAGCTCTACTTACCGAGTAGACCTTCAATATTGTGATTCATTTATCATTGCCTAATCTCAAAAAAAAAAAATAATAATAATAATTATCTGAAAAACAAAAGTAGGCAGTCATGCAAGCTCTACTTTAGGTAAAATATATATATATTCCTACTTTCAATATTGTGATTCATTTATCATTTCACTACCTCAGGAAGTATCATCGTCAGAAAAATCATAAGTTTGCAGGTATGCAAGCTATATTTAAGGTATTAAAAGAATATGGACATACCGGGAGGCATACTTTCTCTTGCTTGGCTAAGTAAACCAGCAGCAGTTTCTATATAAGCTTCAGTTCTTGCAGCTTTATTACACGCTGTTGTTGTTTCTTGACATATTGTAATTGGAAGAATAACATAAATAGCAACAATAATCCAAGCGAAATATGTCCGAGTAGTAGACATCTGAAAAATTATAAAGAGGTTAAATTGTTTCATTTGCTAATAAAATAGAATAATAATATCAGAGTTGCCCCTCTATGAAAACAGGAAAAATCTGGAGTTTGATTTTGAACCCAACCCAGAAGACAAGAAACTTCTGGATCTCAAGTATTGAGAGCAATTTGCCTTCCTTGAAGACTTTTTTGTGGAACTAAATCGGATTTGCGTTACAGTTTTTAATTTTGAAATCTTTTAATAAAAGAGATAGTTAAAAAAAATTATCAAAACTTAAAGACATGACCATTTTACAATTTGGTCTTTTTAAATTATTTTATGGTGCATTACACTTTTTTTTTACTGCCGATTCATAAAATATACTACAAGAAATTTTTTTATTACTGCTTGGGAAAAATATTTCCTGAAAATGAAGAAATTCTATAACTTATCGTTTGGGAACATACATTAACGGCATTGAATAAATGCATATTAATCAACCATTTTAAATTATTTCATGCTGCGTTACAACAATTTTTTTACTGCCAAATCATTAACATAAATTATAAACATATTACAAGAAAATTTTTAATACTTGTGAGAAAAATATTTTCTAAAAATAAAAAAATTCCATAATTGTTAGGGAGCATGCTTTAACCTCATTGAATAAATACATACCTGTCAATCATAATATTCGTGATTAACCTCTTGGGGACGGTTGATTCAGAAAAGCATTCGTACAAAATCAGGATCAGGACGTAATTAAATAAAAAACAGTAACTTAAATGTAGTCGTTTCTGATTTGACAGACTTACTTTGTTTTTGTTTTAATTATTGTTAGTTTAATCATATATATAATCAATGTTAATTCAAAGTATAACTAAATAGTTTTATTTTGAACAAAGTAACTGTGAATTAAATAAATCAAACAATTATAACTCCGCCCACAAATAAACTGCTAAAGAATTACTTTGATTACCAGTTTTATCTTTTTACCCTGGTTGATACGATTTTATGCTGGCACGTATTTGTGACAGTCGGCGCGAAAGGGTTAATGTTTATTACTACCTCAAAATGCAAAAATAAATTTAAGAATGTCAACGATTAACAAAAGTAATATTTTTATCGATAAATTCTACCCCTTTTATAAAAACAGAGATGCCAACTTGCTCCGGACAGCAAATATATATTTTAAAGTGGTAGTTTATCAATTGTGATTCTTGGTTTAATAAATTCAATTTAGTAGATTTTCATTCACCACTATTGCTTATATAATTCACCACTTAACAATTACAGGGATGCCAACTTGCTCCGCTCTGTAAAATATATCAAAAATTATAAGTATCGTTCTACTGGATACTCTATTAAAAAGTGGGCCTAACTATCCTTCTCTAACGAATTTTACTGTATAATTTGCTACCACTTTATTAAAACTATTTCAGAAAGCGGAGCAGTTGGCATCCCTGTAATTATACCTTTTAGAAAGCAAGCAAAAATAGTCAAATATTTGCACAATTTACTTTGAAATTATTTACCGCTCTTTTTTTTATTATTATTATTATTTTGGCATGTTCGGAGCAGTTGGCATCTTTGTAAAAATTCTAAATGTGTGCTTGTTGCTATTTTTTTAGTGGAAGTACATTTACCCTTACATATATATCAGATGTACCTCTTAATTCTCTTGGATACACTCTTTACAAGTTCGAATATGTATGCACTTGCTTGTACCATCAATGATGTCTCTCTTTAACCTTTTCGGGACGGGCGAGTCATAAATATATTCGTGTGGAATCAAAAACAGGATGGGAAAAAAATGAAAAGTGGTAGCTTAAGTTTGGGCATGGCTAATTTGATAACCTTATTTTTTCTTTCACTTTAAATCTAATACACCCAATCTATGTTTGTTAAAAGTGTAACTATATAATTTTTAATTTGAACTAAGTCTTTGTGATATTAATAAAGAAAACTTCTATTACCCCATCCTGAAATAAACTGCAATAAAAATAGTTAGGCTACCAGTTTTATCTTTTTTACCGTAATTGTCGCCACCCTGAAAATGCATATATGACTCGCCCGTCTCGAAGAGGTTCAAATAGAACATTACCATTGAGTTATAGGGTACAATACCATACCACTTTCTTTTATATAGGAACCTTTAGCATCACTGTAGAAAGAGATGCGAACTGTCCCGTAGACCTAATATTTAAAGGCAATTTTATGACACAATACAAAAAACAAAACAAAAAATGTGAAAAAATTAAATTCTTAGAGTGGCAAAATAAGAAACTTACTTTCATTTTCGTTTTACTTCCTGTTTACACATAACTATACAATATCAAGGCATATGTAATAATAACTTATCACGTCATCACGCGAAAACACCATAACATTATCACCAAAATAGCAAAAAAAATGTATTTCCAGTTCGTCGAGAAAAAATTGGCTGTTAACATAATATTACAGAAATGTTTGGTAAATCTATTTTCCTTCAACATCATTTGGGAACATTATAATTTTAATGGCAAATAAATGAATTCTTTGAAACAACACAGAGAAATTAGAAAAAAGTAAGAAATATAAAATTTTAGATGCATTTTCCGAAAAACAAAACAAGTTACGATCTCTTATTTCATTTTATGATAGCCATTTGAGTATTATGTCAACAGCATAAAAGTAAAATTCTATGATTGTGTGCATTTCTACTGTGCTTGTCTACGATAATTTATGAATAACTGATCAACAACAAACATACGTATATCTCTTAGCAATCTTTTATGTATAAGATGTTAAAAAAAGAAATTTGAAATATTCTATCATATTTCTATGAACATTTTTCCTTAAGAAATATTACGTTTTGAAACGTATAAATTGATCAATTATAAATTTAATTTCATTTTTAAGATATAACGTAACTGATCTGTGTCTAGCATCCATTCAAAAAGGCAGTGGCTTGTTGACACGCTCGCGATATAGCGGTACGAAATTCTTTCATGTAGTTTGTGTCAATATAACAGATTAAGTAATGGCAAGATGCATATAATAAATCTACCGGAAAGGTCTGTTTACGGAAGTTCAAACCTCATACCTGCCAACTTTCACTCTTTCCGATAAAGGATTTTCAGAGTGGTTGTAAAACAATAAACGAAAGACAATCTGACTCAAAAATATATTAATTTTTTGATCCCGTTGAAATTCGCTTCTGCAAGGATTATTATGCTTTTATATATTTATTGTAATTATTTATATGTAGTGGTGGTCAAACTCATTTATAATTATCATTATAATTCAAAAAGTTAATTGGAATAACCTGAGCATTTCTACCACTTTAAATATGAAAATAAAATCTTACGAAAAATCCGGAAGAGTAGGCCGTTATGAAACCTCCTTTTACAATTATGTAAAAGGTTCTTTTGTAAAAGAATGTGGTATAGACTTTTTACGCTTTAACTCAATGGTAATTTTCTATTACAAAGCATACGAAAATGTTCATACATTTTTAAACTTGTATTGAAAGTATTCTTATTCTTGTATCCTTACAAAGCTAAGCGGTACATCTGATTTATTCATTTAAGCTCAAATGTAATATTACTTTTTTTTTTAATTAAGGCACCTTTTGCATTCATGTAAAATGGGGCTTGTTCTATCACTGAACGAATTTTCCGGTAGACCTAACATTATCGTTCAACTATTTTTACATATAATATGTTTTCTCATGACAATAAAATATTGTTTATTAAAATAAACGTAGTGTACAATTTCTAAAAAAAATGGTTGCTAAAATAAGAAATTGTAACTCTGATTTTATCTATTTAGATCAATACTCTTCAATGATAACGCTCAGGATTCACTCAAATGAATTTAAAAAAATAATAATTAGGAACATATTCTTAAATTGCATAAGAACTGTAGCTTGTAGAGAGAATACAATTATAGATTGTAAATCGGCGATACAAATATATTCAATACTCGTTCAAAAGTCACGTGCAATAGAAGAAAATTTTTTTCCCCTATTATTATCAATAACAAATTANGTATGATATTTACATTTGTAATGTCAATGCTCGTCACACGTGACATTTGGACAAGCGCACATCTGTATATGACTTATAAACTGCGCTGAGTTCGTGCCATTACGCGGTGGTACGTAAATACTTGTTTCACCCCAATAAATATACGTTTATTAATTTTTGTTTTATAAAGAAACTGATATTGAGTCAATTATAAATAAAAATTCACAACTTTTACATACTTAATTAGGTATGTGTGATTTGCGCATTGAGAACTGTTTTTTTTTTTCGATCCACAATTGACCCTTCCGATTCGGATCGACCCCCGCTCTTGTTAAATAGTCCCCTGGGGGTCTATATAGACCACTTTGGCGACCTCTGATTTAGATCAATACTCTTCATTGATAACGCTCAGGATTCACTCAAATGAATTAAAAAAAATAATAATTAGGAACATATTCTTAAATTGCATAAGAACTGTAGCTTGTAGAGAGAATACAATTATAGATTGTAAATCGGCGATACAAATATATTCAATACTCGTTCAAAAGTCACGTGCAATAGAAGAAAATTTTTTTCCCCTATTATTATCAATAACAAATTAATGTGCTTTTAATTTTTTCACTCTACTGCTTTCATAAAGCTTTTCAATAATACGCAGTAAGTAATTGTACTTTTTTGTAATGTAATATTATTAATATACCATAACAACTTTTATGAAAGGGTATTTGCCAGCGCAGCAGTACTCAGGAATTCCCAGGTACACTAAGAAATTCTTATACCAAAATAGCATTGAAAAGAAGAGTATTGTATTGAAATGTATATACAAATTAATGAATGATTGAAGGGTACAAACTAGATACTAATGAAACTTCCTGAATTGTAAGATGTTGATTTCTTTTCATATAAAATAATAATACTAAATGAAAGAAATACTTAAGTCCTATAAGGTTTGTTAAACGATTCAAAACTATTATAATTCTGCACCTTCGTAAACTTAAAACAAAAATTTTAACAGCTAATTAAAAATTACAATTTTGTCCAATTTTTATTGAGACCACTCCTTCAAACAATATTTCTTATCTTGTACTCGCATTTACATTTCTTAGTTCAAAAATCCTTTTAATAATTATATACTTCAATAAATAAAAATAAATAATTACCATATTTATCCAAACTTGTAAAGTTCTATGCACAAACCTTCACTTCTTCCTAAACCAAACAATAATGAAACTCACTAATCAACAGTTAGATGTCTTTCAGTGAGAACAAGGTAATAAATAAAATGGGAATAGAGTCTGCAATGACGTCAGAGGCAATTGGTGTATTTCCAAATCAACCTCGAACCAACAAATCACACGAAATAAAATAAAGTAAAAAAATAATGTGGCCTCTGTCGGGTCATATACTAAGTTGCCTAATAAGGGACCTCGTTAATTCCGTCAGTTAGTCATATTTCTTAAATCAATTCATAAGTTCATGTCTGGTCATTAAAGAAAGAAATCACACATATACGAAGCAGCTTCGGAGAAATGGGAAAAGAAAATATTTTTTTTCTTTTTTCTTGGATGTTGTTTTGGATATTTAGAAGGAAGTTTGTTGCTGTCTAGGGCGGATGTCAGAGGCCCCGTGGATGAGTTGATGTAATTGATAAGTTCGTTATACGAAAATGTTGCGCTTCTTTAATGAAATCTGGAATTTAATCGTGTGAAATAGAAGCAAGAAAATTTCTCGCGTCCGTTATGAATCATGAATAATTTTTGCTGCATAATACGTAATTTTTATATTTTATCTATCTTAATAAAAAAGGTTTCATAGTTTTAGATATTTAATCCTCCAGTAGGACATAAGTTTTAAAATGTATGGTAATGGATTGGCACATTCTTTTTGCCGTGAATTCTGACGTCAAAAATTGACGATTGAACCAAACCATGGCTTAATTCATAAGCATGGATTCTAATTAAAACAGAACTGTAGATTTCTTCGGCTTTTTTCACAATAAAATAAAATAAAATGCATGATTTAACCTTTGATTTAAAATGGTTTTTGACCACAACGACTATCAAATAATTTAAGGTTCCGTGTAAAAGCAAGACATAGCTTTAAATTGTATGATAATGCTTGGCACAGTGTTTTTGCCGTGAATTCTGCTGACAAAAAATGACGACTTAACCAAAACATGATTTATTTCATGAGCATGGATTCTAATTAAAACAGAACTGTAGTTTTCTTCGGCTTTTTTCACAATTAAATAAAATAAAATGCATGATTTAACCTTTGATTTAAAATGGTTTTTGACCACAACAACTATCAAATAATTTAAGGTTCCATACAAAAGTTTTGAAAAGCAAGTAATATTTCAATCTGCTGAAAAATTTGTAAAATAAATAAATGCTTGTGTAATTTTTATTTCCTAGTTTTGCAATTATGGCAAGAGTTTTCTCCCAAATCAGAGTTGAAATTTTAAACTATTAATTAATACACATTCTTCATTATAAAGTGTTATGGTCATTTAAGTAAGTAGTGCCATTTTAGATGTGTTGCAAAGCAAATGCGATGAACTAACAACATGAAAAGAATACGAGTAATATTTAGGGGTATCCCAGGTATGCCAACTTTGCAAAATAAATAAATAAATGAAAAAAATATGTTTTCATGTAGTAACGAAATTTGATTAATTTTTAATTTAGTATTTTTCATTTTAAGTAATTCTTCCACCAATCAAATATTCAAAATACTGACCATATGAAATCTAACTATATTGCAATAATCACGTGGTGACATTTTTAAAAAATGGACGCAATTATCCGTATTCTGCAAGTTATACAACTTAATTCGCTGTCAATTTATTAGAACTTTTGCTTAGAGCTGAGCAATTTGCATCCTCGATTTTATTATACGTAAGTCAAAGACAATAGAGTGCTATTTAAAATTTTAGGATACACCAGAGCCGTTTTTGCCCCTTAAAAAAAGGCAAATCTGGTAGTAAAATCCTTTAATAGCTAGCTTGTTTACAAGAAAAAAAAATTAGTCTACTAAGACGAATTGAAAATTAAAATATAAACATCAATCGATTTTTTTCACGACGGAAAATCATTGTTAATAATTGTCGGCAATATGAGCATCATAATCACCAACACGACCTAGTTCCTAGCCCCATTTTCAGGGCTCTATCTTTTAACGGTCATGGTAGGAATGCCACGTATTTTTGACTCTGGTCAGTCGACGTGGACAGCGCCTGAACAGGTACACTTCCACACCACAACCAATTAGAAGACATTCAGCCACAACAGATTTAACGCGCACCTTGCTGTGTATACACGCAACACGCAGATATATAACCGGCATTGAACAGTGGACCCAATTCTAAGTTCAACTCCGTGCTTTGTCGTGGACTTTTATTCCTTGGGAAAACAAGATAGAAATGAAATTGTTTTACTGCCCTTTTTTTCAGTTTGTCCGGGAGCAAACAGCCCCGAGGCATGCAATTTTAAAGGTGATAAACTGACATGAAATGTATACGAATGGTATTCATTTATGCCTCAGCAGAAAATCATCAAATAACGTTTTCAATACTAAGGTTTAGTATTCTACAAAAATGACAAACTAATGAAATAAAAAGGTATTTGATATAAGTTGTTCACTCGATTCCATATTTGGTGTGTTTCATACGAATGGTATTTGATGTATGTACTTTGATTACCAAGATAAACTAACTAAAAAAAAATACCTATCGTATCACAGTTCTTTCTCTTTGGAAAATACATTTACACCGTTTTTAAATACCTTACTCTGAATTACCAATTATTATAGACACAGTTTCAATAATATATCAATAACAAGTGCACTGGGGGGGGGAATAAATAATAATAAATATAACAACAAAAATAACCCCACCAGGTATTACTTTTGATCTAATGATCGGATCTTCACGTACGTGGACTGAATCTTGATGGTTAGGGGGAGTATATATTAATTAATCAGTGATATTAATTAATAATAATATATTAATTAATCAGTACCTCAAATATATTAATATATATAAACCTCAAATATATTAATTAATCAGTGAAAGCGATATTTTCAGCTACTAAATCACACAACAAAATGCAATTTCTCAGAATAAACATGCTTATTATGATAAATTTTTTTATATCATTTTAAAGAATGTTATTTAATATGTCAAAATATGAAAAAATCGAACAAATACAAATTTGAACGAATAAACATACGGTTTCTTTAAAAATCGATTTTTCAGGAACTATTCGACCGATTTCGTTCAACTTTTGCATTTTGATATGTAAAGTTGCATTTTTTTAAAATATCGTAATATTTGTATATATTTTACAATTAAAAAAATTCTTTTAACCATTATTTAAAATAATAAATGATTTTTAAAAAATATATTTTGCAGGAAATTATCTTTGGACAAACGAATTTTTTTTTCTAATGCCCACCTGGAGAATGACCTAGGTCATACAGGCATCTGAAGGGCAGATTTGCTGACCACTCTTTTAGGGGCACCATATTAGATGGGCCAACGTTGCTCACATAGTAAGACAGATAGTACAGAGAAGGAAAGAACATCCATGCCTTGCCCGGGATTCGAACCCAGAACCCTTCTGACGCAAGGGCAGTTTCCTAACCCATACACAGGCCGCTAAACGTACTTTATTATTGAACGTACTTTATTATTGTGCAAAAATTATTCAACTCATTAAAAAAAGATCTCGAGATATGGTACAAAACGCAAAATTAACTTAAAGGAGTTCCAACTTTCTACCACTCTCCTGAACATGGCGTTAAGATCAAATTTCTCAGACAGCGGCTGTTTAGGGTGAAGAATTCAACTCTATCGAAAAAAAAGGTATGTTTATTCAGAGAAGGTATGTTTTGATGCCTATTTTCGTAACTTAAAATATTATATTATAATATTTATGCACTGATCATATAATTATCATATTTGAGGTCACCTCGGTGAATCTTTAAGATTGTGTCATGATATGTGAAGATCCAATGATAAGATCAAAAAGTATGCAAAATAGTTCTTTTTTCGCATTAGGTTGACTGTTTTTCCATTTCTTCGCCGTCTTTTCCCAATTTTTTAATGAGTTGAATTCATATTTTAAACGTTATGATTAACAAAAAAATGGGGGAATGCATAAATAAAATAATATTGTACAATAAACTTAAAATGGCGATTTTTAAGTTTACGCTTGTCATAATTTTTGATCCGAACGTTATATAATAATGTCTCAATAAAACTATCACATAAAAAAAGTTTTGAATGTTTATTACCCGAACAAGCAGAGCAGAGTTGGGAGGTATTTAATAAATTCAACCTTCAAATTTATTAGGATAATTAAATCAGTCTTGTTTTTAGCCCCACCTTCCAAAATAGAGGTGCTATGGTGGCTCAGGAAATAGAGTTCACTTTCCAATGAGGCGAACCAACCGGGATCGAATCCCAGCGATGGCTCTTTTAGATCACAGTCCTGACGTAGAATATTCTCAGACGGATCATGGGTAAGAGTCCCGTTCCCATCGGTCTAACCGTGGGAGGTTTTCCTCTCCATGTTATACAAACGTGGGCTAGTTCCATAAAAATAGTCCTCCACGAAGACGAATTTCTTCACCCAATACTTAATCCAAGGGTTCCCATATATTCCAGATTGGGTTCAAAATTACAAGGCTACCGAATTGAACATCAGTAGTCGTTAACTCAAAATTGAGTCGGCTGTTCAACAACGATTGTAAAAATACAGTGATTTGTGAAGCCGCGGTGGTTCAGGGAATAGAGCGTTCTCCTCCCACTGAGGTGAACCAGGTTCGAATCCCATTAAATTTTTAACCCGGCTAGCACCAACCACAATGCTAGCGTAAAATATCCCCAGTGGTAGACGAATGATGGGTTAGAGTCCCCTTGCTGTCAGGATAACTGTGGGAAGTTTTCCTCTTTATGTAACACAAATGCTGTTTAATTCCATCAAACAGTTCTCCACGATGGCTAGTTTTTCCCAATGCTTGATCCAGGAGTTTCATTGTCTTCTGGGTAGGGCTCAAAAATTACAAGGCTACGGAGTTCAACATTAGTAACTCTGAATTGGGTAAACAGTTCAACACTGGTTACATATAAAAATAGTGATTTGAAAACCTTGGTGGCTCAGGCAGTGGCGTACTCAAGGGAGGGGTTTAGGGGTTTAAACACCCNTGAAAAAATTCTGTGTACGCCACTGGGCTCAGGGATTAGAGCACCTACCTTCCAATGAGGTGACCCAGGTATGAATCCCAGCCATGGCTGGTTGATACGGATTCCACACAAACCACAGTGCTAACTCAAAATATCCTTTAAAGGAAGACGGTTTACAGGTTAGAGATCCCTTGTACTCATCTTGACCATGGAAATTTCTCTCCATGTAAAGCAAATGCGAGTTAGTCTTCTACGATGGCAAATTTCTCCCACTACTTGATCCAGGATTTCCTCCTTGTCTTCTGAATCAGATTCAAAATTACAATTGGTAGCCGCAAACTGGATTGTTAGTTGAACGACGGTGATAAAATAAAAAATTGTGATTTGGTGGTCGATACGAATTCTGTGTGTTCGTTTTTCGTAAGGAACTAGAAAACATCTTCCTCCTAAAATAAGCTAGGCTTTAAAATTAATATTTTTTCTGTAACTGACTTTTATAAAGATTGGTCAAACATTTAATATTGTTTTCTCTCATTTAAAAATTAAAGTTGTAACTCTTAATTTAAATACATGTTTCACTTAATTCTTGACAAAGATTCTTTGAAGGTAAATCATCTTGAAAGCATTATGTATATTCACTTAATCTATTGAGGACCATCGTTCTCAGGAACTTTTCTCAAAAAGAAAAAGCTGACTTGTTTCATTTTCAGAACTTCAGAATGGAAGAGGGAAAAAAAGAATCTGTGTTCTCCCCATTTTACTAATATTGATATTTTTATTTACTAGTTAACTAATTTTTAAACAAATTGGCTGCAACTAAATTTTTAAACTAAAGATGTAGTCAATACTACGAAATATCAGATTACTCTACTTTAAATGCCCTACCACTTTTTTTCACAAATTGCATTTCACGTCAATTATATTCACTTTAAATTAAAAATTTATTGGTAGCTTAAAATCTCAACAGTTATCACACTTTTGCTTCCTCTTTAAAAAAAATTCCAGACAGTGGGAACCCTGTGTATATTTTATAATTAATTAATATCATTTGCAAAAAAAATGAAGCAATTAGCTTTTATAAAAATGAATTTAAATAGATTTATGCATTTTAAACCAGGTAGCTTCAAGCATTGCATAATAATATTCCCTAAATTTTATTTTATTTCCAATAGTTTTTGAGTTATGACAATGAGAAGCATGCTCGGTGAAAATTTTCTGAAACATCAACTTTTTTTTTATATTAAAAGAGGATAAAATGTTGTATTTTTGATGTTCCAAGTATTCTGCCTTGTGATAAAATTATTGTTGGATCTTTAATTAATTAACTAATTAAGCAAAATAAAAAGGCACTTAATAGATGACAACAGAATATTTTTAGCTCTGTCTTTTAAATGCAGTTTGTTTGTTTCTAAATAATTCATGAATATTTTTAGAAACAGACAGTAATTAATAAATTAATTAAAAAATCACAATTGTTAATTTTTCATTTTTAAAAATTAAAATTCTATTTTAGAACATGCAAAAACTTCCTTTCTTTTAATGACAATTAAAAAAAACTGTATGATTAAGAATACTAATTCGTTTAAAATAGTTTACGTATTAATTACCAAAAAAAAAAGTTCACTATCCACTTAAAAAGTAAAAAATAATTAAGAACAAACAATGATCTGTTGGGAAGAAATAGATTTCCTTTAAATTATGACTCTTAAAAGAAGATATAAAGACACCTAAATCAAGAATAATTAAATGTTGCATTGTCACTTAAATAGGTTAAAAGTATTGCCTAATAAAGTATTGTCTAAAATTATAGTTGAATCCTAAATTACTTAACTAATTAGATCATAGAAAAGGCACCTAATACAGGAAAACAGAATATTTTTATCACTATATCTTTCAAATGCAGTTTGTTTGTTTCTAAATAATACATAAAAATTATTTAGAAACAAATAATAATTAATAAATCAATTAAAAAAATTTTATTAATTAAATTGTAAATTTTTTATTTTTAAAAATTACTATTCTTTTCTTAAACAAACAAAAATTTCTTTTATTTTAATGATTTATTGATAATTTTTTTAAAAAAAACTGTATGATTAAGAACACTAATTTGTTTCAAATAGTTTACCCATTAATTACCAGAAAAAAATTTCCATATAAAAAGTAAGTAAAGAGAAAAAAAAAGTAAGAACAAACAATGATTATCTGTTGGGAAAAAATAGATTTCTTTTAAAATGCGACTCTTAAAATAAGATATAAAGACACCTGAATCTTAATATTTTCATTTTTGGAAAATAATAAAAAAAACGGAATTATAACTATTCAGTCAATAAATATATAAAGAACATTTATTGAATGAAAATGCAAAATTTTAAACTAAATTAACTTACCAAAAACACTTCACACAAATATTTAAAATAGAACTCTAGTTTAAAATCAAGACTGAAGAAGAATTGTTGTAAACACACACTTGTAAAAATGCCTTCTCTCAAGAGAACAAAGGATTATAAAATTTAAAAGAAAAAAGATAATAGATGTCAAAAGGCTGTGACTAAAAATCATTAAATAAAATATATTGTTTCGTTGCTCAGTCAATATTTCCTGTAAAGTGTGTGCTCTAAGTACTGTAATATTTTAAATTTCTTTCAGAACAATTGTTAAAGTGCATGAATCAAAAGAGCAGAGATTCTTATTTTATATCTCTTAACAGATAAAGAAAAAATTTTGGATTTTATTTATTACAATTTTTCTTTTTCTCTGAAAGGAGAATAAAAATAAAGCAATGAGAATAATTGTGAAGACCTAGTCTATTCCCATTAAGAAATCCTTAAGATCTTTAAAATCATATGCTGAAAAGTAAATTTGGAACTCCCTCTGGTTCTTTTTCCTTCTGGGGACCATGTAAAAGCACAATGAAAAAAGCAAAAATGCCATTTGCATTCATATTACCTTGCTTTTGTTTAATTTTCCAACTTTTATTTTTTAACCCTTTAACAAACCCTTTTAACTTTTTTTTTAACCCTATAAACTCTTTTTATTTTTTAAACCTTTAAAAAAAATTTTTTTTTTCATTTAAGGTAACACATTTTAAAACTTTGTTTTAGAAAAGAAAAAAAAAATTAAAAATCAATCAAAATTTTAATTTTGATTAAGAGTAATTTTTTTCTTTGAATAAATAAATTTTATAGCTTACAATCCTATGCGGATATTAAAGATCATTAAATAAATTTTTTACTTAGCTTTTATATTATAACCACATTGAACTGCTTACCCATTTCTGAGTTTACGACTATAAATGTCCAAATCTATAGCCTTGAAATTTTTAACCGAATACAGAAGATAAAGGAACTCCTTCCCAATGCTATAGGATCAGACGTAAGGACTAACTAGCCAAGGTGGAGGATATTTTGAAGGAACTAACCTGGATCACATGGAGAGGAAAATCTCACACGATTAGATGGATGACAAAAGAATACTAACCCATGATGATCCCTCTAGCACTGAGGTCCGTGCGAGCTGGAAACAGGATTCATATCGACCAACCAATGCTGGGATTTGAATCTGGGTCACTTTATTAGGGGCAAGCATCTATCCCATTAGCCACCGCAGCTCTTAGCTTTCAAAATAAGAAACCAATCATTTGACGTATTGATTGATGATGTATATCATATGATGCATTTTATGCCCTACAGCAGCATAAAATACACAATTTGTCCTGTTTAGCATGCACAAATTAACTCAAGTGCACCTATTAAGGAAGGGGTCAGTGACAAAATCAAATATTTGTTTAATATTAATACAATAAAATAAGATTCATTCATGAAAAATATTTCCAACCTTTTATTCCAACAGTAAGATCCTTTAATGAATATACATAAAAATTTAAAGTACAAGGTAACAATTGCATGCAGATAAACTACTGCAGTTTATAACCGAGGCAGTCATTAAGTCATATAATTTCTAAATATTTATTAAGTCATAAAAGTTGAAAAAGATAAATGAAAATTAATTTATACACTTTGTTAACTACGACAAAATTTAACTACATGTAAAACTTGGTAGAAATCTTAATTTCTTATAACCTGCAAAAATTTGGTTTTTATTTTTATGTTGATACAAATTTTTATTTCAACAAGATATAAATTTAAATTATTTTGTTTTCGAAAAATGAAGAAAGGGAATTTATTTTATCAAGCTGCTGTAACAATTATAGAACAAAGGAAGTTAAAATTATGGAGGAAAACATTTGTTTGAAGTTTGATTTGTTTGTTTGATCTTGCTGTAAAACTTTTACTTAATTTTTATTAATAAAAATCCTATAAAACCAAATTGAGCCAAAAAGCAAGTATTGAAAAGCTTGTGACAAATCAGCCTTTTTCTCAGCATTAAATGAGCATTTTAAACATTTTTTTAATTAAATAAGTTTGAAAAATTCTGACAATTGAAAGTTTTTTAATAATATTTTAAAGTCAAGCTATAAAATATCCCATTTAAGAGTTGATATACATTCATTCTTAATATAAGTTCTTCCTTAATATAAGTTCTTCCTTAATACAAGTTAGTCCTGAAAATAAACTATGAAGAACTTAAGAGCACATGAAGTTTCAAATAATCTATAATAACGCACAAAAATGTGTAGTAGTGTCCTTCTAAACTCTGTATAACATTTGGCTTTAACTTTTTTTGGAGACAACAATAAAAACTGAGATAAGAAACAGATAATGGACTCATAATAATAATAAGAAGAAGAAACAAGTTAACAGGCTAAAATGAACTAAGTGTAAAATTAAAAAGATGAGAGTAAAAAAATAAAAGCAATCATAGCAATGTAATTCTTTAATAAATTTATTATAAAGATAGAAACATTTTAGCTTGAAAACAAAAAGGTTGAGGCAAACATTTATCATGAAAATATTCAGCAATTAACTAATTGATAATAAGAATGAGATGAAGGATTAAAAGTTTTCTTTTAATGTAACTTTAAATGAACAGAAGTTAAAATAGCAGAAAAACTACAACAACTAAGCTTTAGAAAGACGAACAGGTAAAACAGGCCACAGATGAGGTTGATGTAAATCACAAAGTCTGTTGAAATCAAGACTCATAGCAGTTTCCAAGCCAGCTATTGTATCGGCTTTCTCACCATAAAGATATTCCCTCATTTCTTTTTCCAGCTTCATATCTTCCTCAGCTCGGGGACGGCCTTTCCTGCCTTTTCGACTCTCTGACACTAGAAAAAAGGAAATTCAACATTACAAAGAAAAATAACAATAAAATAGAAAGTAAAAATACATATTTTTAGCTAATAAAAATGTATATTATTAAATTCTATTTCTCAAATAATTTGAATGTTGACATTTGCCTGATTAATTGGAATAAAATTACAATAAGCAAATTTACATATGAATATGTCTCACAAAGTCAAATATATAAATTTAAATAATAAGAAATGATGTTAGTACTTTAAATTAATTCCCACTGCACAACATTAGAATTGCTTACTAAGCTAAATACATATGTAAAGTCAAATAGTTTAAAAAACAGAAATGATAAAAGACTAACAAAAAATGTATTAATAAAATTCACAAGACTTTTTTAAAGATTTTCTACAGTTTAATAGCTTAATTTTTTAATGTTGCTACATATCTGTTTAATATTTTTTTAAAAAATTAAGTATTTTTGTTAAAACAAATTGGTTTTGTTGTGTTTGACTACTTTAAAGTACACTGAAAAATTTTTCTACAGAGTGCCTAGCCAAATTTTTCAACAAAAAATAAGCACTCAAAAAATATTTTTAAACACTTCAAAATTTGGAATAAGGATAATCATTAGCTATCATAAATATGAAGTAATTTTAAATTAACATATAATAAAAATTACAAGTGTTCCATCAATTATGTTCTTGAATTATTTCAACATAAAACTCTTTTAGTTTTGAAAATTGCTGTTAAAAAACCAAATTTTGGTCTAGAAAGTATTAAATATTTATAAATTAAAATGTACATATTGCAATTTATCCAAATTCTTAATTTGCCTAACTATTGAAAATACATTTACAAAAACAATTATCTTATAAAAAATACTTAATCATCTTATACTTTATACGTAAAATCAGTTTTCATTCACTTCCATTTTAACTCCTCTTTTCCAAAACTAGTTTGTATGAATAAGACTGAAATTTGAAGCTGTTCTTACAATGTAAACAATGTCTTTTTGCATAATTCATGGCTAAAATCAACATGGAAACGAAAAAAAAATCCCTATTTGGAAGAGGGAAAACTAAGCACTTTTTAAAACTATCCAATGAAAAAAACATCTTTAAGGACTTAAAAACAAAAATCGCAAGAAGCACCTTTAAGCACTTTTCAAAAACGCTACACACCCTGCTTAAAAAAATTATGATTACTTAAAATGGAGATACCATTCTTAATCTCTGAAGATATAGGCATAAAACATAGTGATTTCATAGTGATTGCCCCAAAGCACACAAAGATATTTAAGATAAATAATTATGAGTGTTTGGCTAAAATGGTGCATGAGCATCAGTGCGTAACTGTCATATGACATCCAGAACATCACTTTATCTTATTGTGTTTTGCGACACCAGGTAAACATACTCTCAGTTTGTCCAGTTCAATAAAGATGTTTATGTTTTAACATACTTAGTAATTAAGAATTATTACAAGTGTCATTACAGTTAACAAATAATATTACATGGTGTCAGAAGTGGGATCACTGGAAAGTAGGATATTATATGGTGTCAGAGGAAATCAAAGTTCAGTTCATCTTTGGCCATTATGAAAATATTTTGTTTTAACATTATTAGTATTTAATTATTATATCAAGTAATAGAATAGTAAATAAATATTATTACATGGTGTTAGAATCATGACCAGCAACTCTAGTGCTTCAAGTTTTGCACGTGAATTAAATATTTCCGAAGATGGAATGTCAGTTAAGTGGAATCTTTGGAAACAGCATTTCAATTCCTATGATATGGTTATTGAATCATCTAGCAAAGAGCCAAAAAAATCAGGTAGCAATATTTATGTCTTAAATACATCTCTAGAAATACTTGAACCACCGATAGATGGCACTGTCGAAAGATTCTTGTGAAACAAGACATTTACATTTTTAAGTAATAGTTGTAACTATAATAGCCATTGTCATGTATACTTCATGTTAAATATATCCTTTTTTTGTTATTACTTACCCCTTATGCTTGGTTATTTGAGTAGTTTTCTTTAATTTAAGAAAACGAGAATATATCTTCGGTGTAGTTATCAACCCATTGGAATAATTTAAACTCTAAAAGAGAAACTTCATCAGTGCAACAAAAAACTTTTTTTTTTGTTGCACTGATGAAGGTTGCCCTTTGAGCATCCGAAACAGCTGTTTGCATTTATAAATATTTTTGTGATCTTAAACGTTGTTTACCTTAGTTTGTATTTTAGCACAAAAGTCGCCCACTTGTGTATTTACTAGTCTAACATTCTGGAAATTACTTTTATTTCAGTCTAGTTTCTTATAATTTTTCTTCATTCTAAAAATGAACCTTAGAATGTTTATTTGATTTTGAGAAATGCTTTAAAAGAAATGTTCTACAATATTAATAATAAGTTTTTCATTCGCTTTAAACTTTAAATGTTTGAAAGGAAAAAAAAGTGGACACTGTTAAAAGGGCTTCAACAGGTTGAAAGGTAACTTTTGCATTTTTGCCCTAAACTACTGAAGAGTATAAGTTTTATGATTATTTTTTGCTTTTAGTTCAATGTGAACTTTTTAGTTCTACTACATAAGTATGTCTTAAAGATATATTTAACACAAGAGAGAAAATGAGCATGCCAAAAACTTTCTTTCCATGCACATTTTCAATAAAAAACCATTTCTTTAATAATAAAAAGTTAAAGAAGCTTAAAATTGGGGTTTGACTCTCAATTTTTAAAATTTTATTTACGTTTAAGATTATTTATGTTGATTAAACAAACAAAATTCAACACCTCTCATAAGTATACTAATAACAAAAGATTAAGATTAAACATAGAAAATTATGAATATGGAGGAAATTGTTCTTCGAACAGATTTTAGATTTAATAATAAGAAAAAATATTAAATAAATGTCAGAATAGCTTACTGTTTCCAAATCTATCCAATTGAACATATTCAAATTCCTCAACAACTGTATCTATCATTTCAAAATCCTCTTCTTCATTGTCTTCATCATTATCACTCTTCTCTGATAATGACTCTATAAATTAATAAAGACAAAATTATTAATTTTCTATGCAATGTTAAAACTAAGCAGGGAAGAACTAATTAGTCAGTTCAAACAATTTTATATGATAAGCATTAAATTCAGAGTCAAAGAAAGGGTTTGTATTAGCCTGTATCCAGGGGTGATTGTGAGCCCAACTCAAAAATCCTGAAACTTTCTTGAGTAAAATCATTAATCACGCATTTCAAAAAATTTAAGTCTTTATAAATTTAAATTATTGATCTTTTCAAACCATGAAACTATAATGAAATTATATGCAGCATAATTTAAATGAATAAATATTTATAAATTTACTTTTTTCTGTAGACACATTTATTATTTGACCTGAAAAAAATATTTACAAATGAAAGAGATGCCAAGTATAAAGTCTACAAAAAACATAACCATACTAAATGATGTTTCATTTAAGTTACAAAACATACTAAGTTACGTTTCTGTCTAGTGTTCTAATTAAGCATTTTTAGAAGAGCAGCTCATCTTATCTGCCCTTTGATCCCTATAAATGCAATCTCTTTGACCTTTATGGAAAGAAAAAAAAATACCATCCCTTGAAAAAACTACCTTTTTACTCATATTCCATTTAAAATAAATAACTTACTTTAAGTAATAATTACACACTTGTAAAATAATCTGCGTTTAAAGGTTTAATTCTGATTAGTATTACAAATATTCACTTTTCATTATTCTCAACTGGTTAATTTTTTATAAGTTTCTCTTTTTTTCAGGGGGTACTATACTAATGAATTTGTTAGGTGATTTTAAATTTTAAAATTATTTTTTAAATAAATATCTTTTTCTTAAAATTGCACTTTTAAATGCTCATTTTCTCATAATTTTCAGTTTAAAGTATAGAAAAAAGCTTTCCAGTTGATTATCAACTATTTTTTTCTTTTTAGTTTACTTTTTATTTATTTCTTTTTTTTTTTCAAAAAAAAATTTATGCTCAGAGATTGTCTCTCAGCATGAATTTAACTATTTTCTTTTAGAAAACATGAATTTTTCTTTTGTTTTGATAATGTGTCAGAATTACTTTTTTAAATATATTCTACATAAAATAGTATAAGAGGGAAAATGTAAAAATTGTTGAGGATCAAATTAAATTATTAGATACTAGCCGCCTAAGGCGGCCAGCTGTCCGCCACGCTGAAGGTTTTCACAAATAAAGTTTTTTAAAACATGGCAGGAAATCTGAAGATTAGTGGACAATTAAAGTGTTCCTGTCCAGCAATTTTGTCTTCATATCCAGTTCTGCTGCAGATGTGTTATAGCTCTTGAGGATGTTTGAAATTATATAGCTACAACGCTTAAGAAAAAAAAA